TTGTGGACCTGAAATTCTACTCACATGATTGGGGATACTTGATAACCCTATAGTCCAAGTTTCATTGACTAAGAACTTATACTTTTAAAAATTATATCAAAAATTCAAAAACTTAAACCTTGGGTTAAGTTTTTGATGTTGACGCCGCCGCCACTGAAAAAGCGGCACCTATGTCTCGCTTTTTGATACGCAGGCGAGACCAAAAATGAAATGGAAGCTCTTATTACCGATCATGTGAAAGAATATGTTTTGACTAATATGTGATAATCCAATTTTTACGGGGAAACCGCCTACTAATTGATATACAGTGTGTATTTGGTAAATTATTATATCTATTTGGACCTGATAGATATCGCGCACGTGTCGCGCACATGTCGCGCACATGTCACGTTGTCCCATATACATCTTTATGTGTACAGTGCCAATTTTCTTATCATTTTGATGATTCCAGAACCTTGCAGTGCACACCAATACATATTTGCTAGATGATCAACCTTTTCTGATCGATTCCACAACGTTTCTTTCACAATGCAATGGCATGACCAGAACTGGTCTTTACCTTTAACTATATGTTAAAGTACATGAGTTAATGCCCTTCTGGCTTCTGTTCCATCTCCACATGAGAGTAACCATAAACGCTACTCACCTCTGAAAAATTAGAAGCGATAAAGCCATATTCTGGACATGTGATAAATACGAAGAAAAGCTGGAATTCTCCTCCTTGATCTTCATCGTCCGTTTTAAAGTAGATCAAAGCAGTTGAACCATAGCTTTGAAGTTGACCATTATCTCGACCACAGAGACTGATAACTCGGAATGGGTATGCAGCATCAACAATCTACAGATATAGAGAAACGTATCAAGATTATATGCCACTGCAAGCAAATTTCATACATTACCTTCATAATCATTATATTCACATGATGATCGATGGTAATTAACACATCATTTCATGAAGTCTTACTTTTAAGAAGCATTAGCTTTTAAACAACTTTCAATATTTACTCTACATGCATGTATGTAGGCTTGTTGCCACATAAATCTGTTAATGACCACTCAAATAGTCCAGGGCCGGTATTCAATTCAATACTTAGCATAAATAAGAAATTTACTAATTAAATGGCTAAGTTAAGTAATTTACTTATCTCGTATTTAAATCGCATTTTAGATATATACTTACGTAAGACAAAATCTAAGTTAAATACTTACTGATAAGCATTGTGACGTCACACGGTCAATCAAAAATAATGCGCAATTGATGCATTGCAATAAATGCGCGCTGATATAATTGTGCACAGGTTATAATACTGCGTAAGAAAACCATATGCCTACCAATCGAGACCTCCAAATAATTGGCTTAAGTCTGGTATGAAGTTGGCTTAGATTTAGGGTAAAATGCTTAGCTAAAAGTGTGAACTGAATACCAAAATTGGCTAAGTATTTTATCTAAGCCAAATGCTAAGTAAAAAACTTAGACTTTGTACTTAAGTATTGAATTCAAATTTTTGGAAAAGTATTTTACCCTAAATCTAAGACAGCTGCCGGCCAACCAGACTTAAGTCAATTATTTGGAGGCCTCTATTGGCAGGCATATGCTTTTCTTACGCAGTATTATAACCTGCGCACAATTATATCAGCGCGCATTTATTGCAATGCATCAATTGCGCATTACTTTTGATTTACCGTGTGACGTCACAATGCTTATCAGTACGTATTTTACTTAGATTTTGTCTTACGCAAGTATAAGTCTAAAATGCGATTTGAATACGAGATAAGTAAATTACTTAACTTAGCCATTTACTAAGTAAATTTCTTACTTAGTCTGAGTATTGAATTGAATTCGGGCCCAGGAGTATAGCAACAATCGCTTAATGACAATGTTGTCCTCCTCTGTGGAGCACTCTCTTGGTGCTTGTTCTACAAAGTCTCACTAATTCCATGTTCTTGATTAGAGGTCCATCTTTGTTAGCATTATTATTCTTGATCGATATATGAATCACACGATGACATATGCAAAAAAAATATAACAGATGCTGATAATAATGCTGTATTTGTGTATCTTTAATACTACATCCTCTCGCAGGTGCATTTTATAAAGTGATGTAGTACTTCATGATGTAACAAGCTAATATAATAGAATTACTTGAAAAAGCCGTATGAGTGAAATATTGTTTACCCTATATACATGTGAACAAAGATCTTTAAGGTCAATTTATTCCAAGTGTTATGGAATGACATATCCACAGAATAATCAATTTTGAATTTATAAATCAAAAAATCTACAAATGAATAAGATATGATATATTAACTAATATGTGTTACTTTCACAACAGTGGAGTTTCCTTTCCACTATTCATCAGGACCCTGTTTCATAAAACTTGATATCGATAACAAGTTACAAGCTACTGTTATAAGCTACTGAAATCATGGCATCTGATTGGCTGAGAGCAAATTTGTCATAGAAATTTAGAATTTGTTATTGATTAAAAGTTTTATGAAACGGGCCCCTGATTCATAAAACATGGAGTTTTATAGTTGTTACCAAATTACCAAAAATTAGCCTTCTTGGAATTGACCTTATTCTGTTGAGAGTTGTAACTAGATACATACCGTGATAGAATCACCCAGACATTCACCTCCTTCTCCGCTTGGTAAAGGAGAGAGATCCCAGCTACCAATGATTCGTACACACCGTCCTTCTGGAGCCGTCACATTGTACAAACATTCTTCATTTTCCATGAAGACATCTCGCTTAATTGTACCAATAGGGCTTGTGTAGGTTTCATCACAACCTGCCAAACAATAATCAATGAATATGTGGTTACAGTATCATGTACATGTACTATATTCTAGGCAATTATTTGAAAAATACAAACAGTACAACTAATTTCTTGATTGTGTAATAATGATTCATTTATAAAACATGCTTATAAATGACATAGTTTTTGTAACCAGGCATAAATGTTAATTTCTTATTCTGCCTTATTTCTGTTACCTTTCTTTAAGCATATAGGCTTTCTTTCTAATAGTGATATGCGCTATATAAGCAATGTTCATTATCATAATTATTATCATAAACTTTGTGACCATTTTTAAGGAGGGAAAGTTTTAACAAAAATATTTAAAAAACACTCTGTGTGTTTGCTATTCTATGCCAGTATACTATATTCAAGCATTAGCTTGATATAATAGTGTTATAGAGAGATATTGCAAGTTGAAATGCTCATCAACGTTTGGCAGTAATGTTCGTGGGCCACTGAGCTGCTCAGGGACACCATGCACGCACAATGCCTGGAGTTCCTGGTATATGCATGGTAAATACACGTTCATGATCAGCTGGCCCTACGTAGCACAAACATTACTTCAGAACATCCTTAAATAACTTAAAATCCTAAATAAAGGTAGCACTGATGTACAGGTAAATGCACTCGTACATACACATGTACAGAAATTTATCATGAAGATATTTCATTAGACACTAGGAATTTTCCCCCTTTTGCTATTTAATCTTTAATCATTTTGATGTCTTTCTGTGAGAAATATAAATAAAACAATATCTTTTGAATCATCATCACCATCATTAAAGGCAAATAAAATACATGTGTGGCCAATTAATCAGACATTGGCAACTAATAATCAAGATAAAATATTACAAGAATATAGGGATAGACAGACCATTAACCTCAGAGATTCTATGATTAACAATAACACTTTGTGCACTTCTCAGTGGGTTTGGGAACTATTACCCAGCTTATAAACACATTACATGTGAATGAATGTAATCAACTTACTAGCACATGGTTCTTCATTACACTCTGTGGTGCTGGGAGGCATGGGGTCCGTACACAGTCCCATAGCTACACTTTCTTGTGTTGTGAGATCAGTGCATTCCACTTCACGCGTCTGAACACCGCTTCCACAAGACACATCACACTATCAAGAAAACAAGCTCAGTCAAGTTAATACGTGAATGCTCTTCAGGCCTATAAAGTATTATTACAAATAACGGAGCACTAAGTCACTGTTTCATAAAACTTTCATAAATGACTTAAGTTGCAATAACTGTTAGAAGCTACTGAAATCATTGAATTCGACTGGCTGAGAGCATTTTAAAGGTTTTTATCATTCAGTGAAACGCAAATTGGTAACACTGTGACGCATCTTGCGAGGTCCTCTACAAATATTTTGTAAACTTTTATTTTCTTAGTTATTGATGATGGAATAGACGTCTTTCTTACAGGGATCCATATTTGTAATAATCCAGGGTGCATGTATGATTGAAAACTTCTTTAGGGAAAATAGAAATTTCTGATATCTTTTAGTAGAGAGCAAGTGGGTAGGAATCTCCCAAGAATCTTGTGTTGGATTGATTGCAACATCAAAAATTTATAACTTTCTTGTTTTGAATCAGAATTTGCTAAAAATTTCACCGAGCTGTTTCTCTCATTTTTCTGCTTCTATTAAAACCATATTAACATCAGGGTGGACTTCCTCTTTAATAGCACATACAGAGTTCTAATCGTGTATTTGACAACAGTTCTTTTTCTCCTCACCTCTCCATATTCTCCAACAGTGAAGCCATACTGCGGGCATGGAACAAAGGCCAAGTAAGCAGAGAATCCCCTGAAGGTATCTACTCCATCGGTGTAGAGAGTGAGAGATGACTCATTAGACCTGGAGCGCCATACAGGTGGCAAGCTGCCACCACAGTAAGTAGCATCAAGATACTCCCAATTCTCGTCAGTAAGCTGGATAAGAGGAAGAGTGTTAACATGGTAAGCATCAAGGCTGGTATAGTACACAGATGAAGCAAGGGTTTTACTTAGCATTTGGCTTGGCTAAGTAAAAATGTCTTAAATCGTATTCAGATCATATCTAAGCATTTTACTTTCACAAGCCAACTTCAAGGCAAGTGACTTACTGAAAAGCATTGTGACATAATTTGGTCAATAACATATAATGAGGATGTGCAGTGGATCAGTAGTAGAACCAATATAGTACAGTCAAACCTGCTTTAGTGACCACCTGTCTAAAGGGACCACATTTGTTGTTTCCCTTGAAAATGGTTTCTCATTGAATCATGTACTAAAGGAACCTGTCTACAAAGACCACTTTTTGTGTTTCCCTTGGGCGGTTGCTGTAGACAGGTTTGACTGTAGTAGCTGTCTGCCACGAAGCGACAATGACCGCCTTCACTTTCACTTTACAGCTGTTCTCCATACAGCTCGCCTGCCTGCAGCAGTTGTCCAAGTCTTGATTTCGATTTGCCTCCGCTTAAGGATCAGTAATAGCACCAATATATAGTGGGGCAGTCTCACTGGGAATTTGACATCACTCAGGTATTCACCGGAACACATGTATTGTCAATAGAGTGGCCTTCACTTTTACAACTAACAGGTGTCATATAATGCTTTGCACTCACCACCAACTGAATCATCATAAATGTCATTCATGCAAAGACTCTGTGGGATCGGGACAGGGATGTATTTCTTGCACGATGGGACGTCCAATTTGCTGTATGTTAAACTTGTACACCCATTGATGGTATTACCACCAAGTTTGGTGCCAGTGATGTACTGAACATGGTGACTGCCGGCCATATCGCTTTGAATATTATTACCTTCAATTCAGCTTAGAGACTTACAAAGGACCAATCATTAAAAAAAAATCATTTAAAAATGTTCCGGGTTCCAAGCTGGTACTGCAGTCAGAATACCATACACTAACATTACTTTTGTATTAAAACAGAAATTCTCACTGTAGATATTCTCTAAAGTAAAGGCAAACAGAAGTAATGAAGGACTACTCAAGGCAGCCATATGTGCTCTTTATGTTTAATGTTATCAAGAGATATGACGAGCCATTGACTGCATGTATTGAATAGCTTATATAGCTTACACGGAGAGACACAAACACTAATGATGAATGAAGCAAAATTTGTGATTAGATTTAGCTTGTACATGTATTATAAGTGCATGATCCAAAAGAAGCAAAAAATTATATTCGTCTAAAATGATATTTACCTCAATATAATCACCAGCTTCACAATCACCATTGGTCAGTCCAAGTTCAAATCTTCCAAGGAATGAGACACGAATACATTGGTCTTCACCAGAGATGAGAGTATATTCACATTCCATGTCGTCCTCATAGTTCATTGGACTATTAGGACTGGTAAAGATTCCCTCCTCAGTCAGTACCATGTCACATGCTGTACCGACACAAACACAGATTTATATTATATTATTTATTATTATTCTGCTTGGGTCTAATTTCATCCTATCTAAATTAACTTTACTTCTCATCTTGCCTTTCTCTCCCCCAAGTTTCCTTCCTCTCCCTCTCTGTCTGTCTGTCTCTCTCTCTATTTCTCTATTTCTCTCTCTCTCTCTCTCTCTCTCTCTCTCTCTCTCTCTATATATATATATATATCTCTCTCTTGTTTCTCTCTGACCCTGCTGTTTATGTATTCTCTCCCTCTTGTTATTGTACATCCAACAGTATACAATGCAAGTCATACATCACAATGGGGTCGAATTCACAAGATCTTTAAATAGATCTTTAATCTGATCCCCACTCAATTTATGTTACTTGTGCTGTCAACTACTGATTTTACTATGTCCATCTTTTATATTTGTCATACATGTATGTGTTTACACGCAATTTTATGTATCTGTTTTTATATTGAGTGAATTAATTAATTACTTGAATACAAGAAATCTTTTATAAGTCATTTTTGCATAAAGATATTATTTTGTAAAGTTTTTAAAGTGTATCTTGGGGGCATATAATCTGTAGTTTCATATACCCATCTAAACATGTATATAGATGTACACCTTTACATCGGATTCCTGGAAGGCACATCAATTAACATTTCTTCTCTGCTAAAGAAAGAGAAAAGAAGAGTATGTTTAAGGACTTACATGGGCATTCCGGTAAGCTACATGGTCTTGAATCAGATGGCCTTTGGTCATTACAGAAGTCATCGGTGACCACTTGACTATCAGACAATCGTGTACATCCTACACTACGGTATTCAACACCTTCTCCACAAGTCACGGAACACTAGAGAATAAAACATATTCCAAAACATGAATGTGATTGCGTATGCTAGCAGATCAAAGTTCCATTGAACATCTTAATGCTGTGATGTTAGAAAGCTTTTGTATGTCTTTATTCACTGGTATCTTTACAATCAAATCTTTCCTGTAAATATTCAGAAGTCAAGTATCCAGTATTCTTAAGAACACACTATACGATACAAATCCAGCACCTACATTATCCAGTAACAAGTAACTAAGCACAGTGCTTTACACTGTACTATTACCCTTTCATTTAATTCATTCTTTACATTGCTAACAGCTAGCACATACTTCATTGAGATCATTAGAGCGTTCCATTGGTTCATTACTAAGACCACAGAGAGACTTCCCAGCCTACTTAGCACCTTAGAGGATCCTCAGTAGGGTTAGTATTTCTATCATTATTCCATCAATTTGCCATTTTACTTGCAACAAATTATTTCTATTTCATGGAAGGGCTAAAGCAATTGCATTCCATTTCATCTTTTCATAAATGATAGAAACATAACGTTTTTTGCTAGACTTGGTAACATTGTTGAAGGTTGGTGAAAAAAATTGCTTAATTTTTGTATATAATGTTACTACTATATTCCTTCTACTGTACTAACCCTCTGACATGCAAAAAATCCTTAAAAAATTCTCAAACCACGAAGATATCTATGGTTTTCTTTAAAAAGGTCGATGTATGACACCCTCTAACAGTGATTAACAGTAAATTCTCCCAACCATTTTTGAATTTTCCCAACCGTTTTTCTATGAAAAAAATACATAAAACAGGCTATAAAAAAATCTGTCAACACTTAAATGCATGGAATGGAATGTAGAGCCATTTTATTGCTTTGTGACGATTTCCATTCACCTAAAATGTAATTAAATTGTAATAATATAGTTGGGAGAATTAAGGAATCGATTCGATCAGTTTTTCCCAATTTGTACCATGAATAATGGTCCATTTTCACTCAAATTTTCAGATTATCTTTAATTGTACATCTAGCATTGAAGTCACTATCTTAGCACCACTATCTCTCATCTCAACAATGTTACCAAGTCCCTTTAAGACATCCTCTCATCGGCTCCTCAGTTTCATGTTAAAATTGGAGGAATCCCCAAACTTGCAAACCATTACTGTTCTTGTTGGCTGTCTTCTTGAGTACGAGGATCAATGAGAATTGATGGGAGGTCATTGGGGTAAGATTTCATATAACTAAATAGGCCAATGCTTGAAAAACAGACTCTCTCACATTTTGGGGAAGGAAACCCTTTGGTGGTCTTGGGGGGCTAAGGGAAGCTTAGTCTAAAAAACACCAAACTTTAGACACCACGTTGTCACTTACCTCGCTAAAGTTACCAGCGCTGAATCCAAACTCTGGACACGTTCCAAAACCGACAAGGCCTTCAAATCCATCATTCCTTTCATCTTCACCTGTCCTAAAGACAACTTCAACGTTCGCAGAGCGAGAATAAAAGACAGGAGCTGTGGTGTTCTCAGGTAGCCCACAATATAGAAAATCTACACCTCCTTCTGTGTCAGTAATCTGATGGAAAATTGTATTGCACATAATTAACTATTGAATGAATATTTGCTCTCTATACTTTGTCATTAAAATTAATAAAAATTAATTTACATAAATGTTGCTAGCCAGTAAGCCATCCTGTCCACTGGTTGTCTGCAAGCTTTAAAAGATTTGCCCCATCTTAATATGTCATAGATAACGTATCTTAAACCTTTTACCTGTACAGTATACTATATGTTTTCATCTGATAAGGATTCTACTCTACTCTCTGTATAAAACTATTGAATAAATGTACATCCACGAGCAAGAGCTTCCTAAATTATCAATATAAAACAGATTTTACCATATATAGGGGTGATAGTGAGTGCTAAACAAAAAAATAGGTTTTTTGTTTTCCCCTCAACCATGCCTCCCTTGGGTAAAAAAAAAAGAAGAGGATTCGCGGGGAAAAAATGGCACTAACAACGTACCCCTTTTCGAGTAAGAAAATTGGGAAAATTGGGAAAAAAAATAGGGCAAAATAGGGAAGAATAGAGAAAATAAGGGGGGAATCGGGAAAATCAGAATAAAATAGGGAAGGAAAAAAAAAAAAAATCGGGAAAAATCAAAAAAATCAGGAAACCGATTTAAATCGGGTTTTTATCAGGCCCGCATATAATGAATGCATTGGACTCATCATGATATACTTTAAAAAACAAATACAAATACAAATACCTGACATTTTCATTTTCAATTTTTGTGTTCTTTTTCACTTTTGATTCAGCTATTTAAATGTATGACCATTCACAAATCTGAACCAATCGTAAAATTTGTAAAGCTTTCATGAACAGGAAAACTTTTTGTTATAACAGTAAGATTCATTTCATTTGTAGAGGTGTCGTGGACGAGTGGATACGTCGCCGGACTGTCGATCACAAGGTCCGCGGTTCAAATCCCGCCGCGGCACTAATGTCCTTTGGCAAGACATTGATCTACATTTGCCACACTCCACCCAGGTGAAGTAAATGGGGACTGGTAGGAAGAAATTCCTTGAATGCTGTGAGCACCAAAATCGGTAGCCTAGCAGAGCCGGGGTAATATTGGAGCGCTTTGAGCACCTTGCAGGGTGGATATGTGCGCTATATAACTATCCAATATTATTATTATTAAAAGGAAGTCTTACCTGGACATAATCGGAGCAGTTCTCGCTTGGTTGACCCAGGTCAAATGAGATGAATGAGACAGTGATGCATTCAGTAGAGTTAGGGTTTGTGATGTTGTAGATGCAATTGAGGTTGTTATCATAACCATCATAATTCCCATAATGATCTTCTGTACCGAAACCAGGGCTTACAATCACCCCAGGACGTGTCACATCCTCTGAACAAACTGCAAATAACAAACAAAGTATTATTTTTAAGCAAGATGAATCTGCATCTCCAATATGCCTCTGCCTATATATCGATCAATGATCATGTGACCTTCTTGATTCTTCTTCTTCTTCAGTACGTGTCGACAGACTTGTTAGTCCATGTCCAAGAATTATAGAAGAAAAAAAAATTACAAAAAAAAAGGGATATCGGTGGTATCGATTCCCAATATTGCATGTATCGTGTTGATAATAATAATAATAATATTCAATTTTTATATAGCGCTTATTACAATGTCTCTAAGCGCTTTACAAATATACTATTACTCCAGTCATTGGATTCAGTGCTTGCCCGCACACACTGTGTGCACAATCTCCACTCCCTGGGGAGCATTCCAGCCAGACGTTACATGACGCTCAAAAACTGTTTGACCAACAATGACGGTCGCATCCTACTGGGTACCCATTTAACACCTGATATCGCATGTATCCAGTAAAATTATCTTCACTGTAATTGACCAATCAGATTGCAGGGATTCTTCTACCCATTCTTTAATATAGATAGATGCACAAGATCGAGTGGTGCAAGAATAAACCTCATGCACATACTGTACTATGTCCTATTATACCGGCCTTACCAGGGCATTCCTCTGTATTACACTCTTCCATGGGTTCATAAAAGGGTGAGCCTTCACACAGTGCTTCTCGATCCGTTTGCCGGGTGGCAAGATTCATACAAAAAACATCACGGGTCCTTACACCGCCATCACATGATAAGGAACACTGAAACATAAAAATAACACAACTCAACATTCAGTCTTCCTCATACAAGATATCTATTCAAACGTATAATAAAAGCCATTTTGTAGATAAAATAAGCCATTTGGTAGATACATGTATGATAAGCCATTTGGTAGATATTATAAGTCAGTTCGTACATACATGCATAATAAGCCAGTTTGTAGATATATTAAGCCAGTTCATAGATATATATATATGTATATTAAGCCTATGTGAACCAGGACGTGGCTCTGTATTAAAGCCTATGTGAACCAGGGCGTGGCTCTATATTAAAGCCTATGTGAACCAGGGCGTGGCTCTATATTAAAGCCTGTGTGAACCAGGTCTTGGCTCTATATTAAAGCCTATGTGAACCAGGACGTGGCTCTATATTAAAGCCTATGTGAACCAGGACGTGGCTCTATTTTAAAGCCTGTGTGAACCAGGGCGTGGCTCTATATTAAAGCCTATGTGAACCAGGGCGTGGCTCTATATTAAAGCCTATGTGAACCAGTGCGTGGCTCTATATTAAAGCCTATGTGAACCAGGTCTTGGCTCTATATTAAAGTCTATGTAAACCAGGTCTTGGCTCTATATTAAAGCCTGTGTGAACCAGGTCTTGGCTCTATATTAAAGCCTGTGTGAACCAGGTCTTGGCTCTATATTAAAGCCTATGTGAACCAGGGCGTGGCTCTATATTAAGCCTAATGTGAAGTAAAGAAAATAAACGTCAATGGGTTAAATAGTGGGAAGGTCTTACCTCACTCCATGGACCAGGTATGAAAGCATATTGAGTACAGGATCCAAATGAAGGAAAGACTTCAAAGCTCTTGAAACGCTCAGCATCTTCTGTTCTTAGGGTCAATTCTACCGTGTTGCCAATGGTCTTGTAGGGCATGGTGTTGATGGCATTTCCACAGTAAGGCTCATTAGCATATACGTTAATAGGATCAAAGATCTGTGATAAAGAAACAAATCAAATACATCTAGACCACACTCATGTTCTATTGAATATAATAGTATACATAGTTTATTTTTTATTATTATATCTTTGTCATTTTTGTGACTCTGTTTGTTTTTTCTCATATACAGATCCGATTTCAGAGCATTTCAATTTGTTTCACTTTGATAGTTTCTTAGTCTTTATAATTCTTATGCTCATTTCTTTGTATTTCTTTTCTCTTTTCTTGTTTAGACATGATCCTATTCTCGAACACTATGTACATTTCCTCCCCTCCCCCCCCCCCCCGAGTCTTCTATACTTAATAGTGATCTAAACCCCTTACCGTAAGATATTTATTGTTACACCCGTCTTGCAAGTCCTCATTAATTACCAATAATAAGTATACTATCTCTATCCTACCCAGTCCCTCCCTCTTTCTCTCTCTTAATCCATTTAATAGTGAACTATACCACTTACCATTAGATAATCATTGTAACACGTGTCTCCCAAGCCCTCATCGATGTCCAGAGATGTAAAGAAGAGCATCATGCATCCATTCTCGTTGGTGATGGTCAGAGTACATTCATCGTTGTACAAATAGTAATCATTACTCATCGGGAAGGTGATTTGTGAATTACCCGCAGTAATGCTTACATCGCAGGCTGTCAACAAATTGAACAATAATTATAAGTATTACAAACAGGTAGATTGTGCTTCTTCAATTATCATGTTATTTTCATACATTTTATCCAGATTAAAACATTCTCTTCTGATAACCATCAACACAAATTGAATTCAAAGGTTTATAAAAGAAGTCAAAAATCAATTTTCCAATATTTCATAAGTTACATGCGTACACTTGTGTTTTGAAAATAAAATAAGGAACTAAGCTATTAAGATCTAAACACTTTGGAGAATAATCATTTGTTACTGGCAAGTCCATCACCATCATCTACAAGCTGAGCTTTTCAATAGGTTCCTCACATTTCACCCTGTATAACCTACTATTCAATACAATTAATTTTGACATCTTTACAAAGAATTGATTATATAATGTGACACTTTTAGTTTATTTGATATTATGTTCTAATTTTGACAATTATGTGAATTCTTTTTGTGAAATGTGAAACAAAATAAACTTGAAACATAATCATTTAATGGTCAATTTGACCAGTCATTTCCCTTATCATCCATTACACACATCTATTATACAAACTTACATGGGCAATCTTCTATGAAGCAAGGCTCAGTAGTCGGGGGCTCTTCATCAGGGCACTCATCACGGCCGGTCAGTTCATTGGTCAACGCATTAACACATTGCAGCTCTCTGGTCCTGTTACCAACACCACAGATTTCTGAACACTGTAAACAAACAAGATAGAGAAGATTCACATACATGTACTTAGCAGTACAGGTTCAGCATCTCCTATAATAGACAAAAGGTCAAATGTCACGGAACCAATCAGTGACTGAATCATTGGAGCTGAGGACACTCCCATACAAAGGTGGAAGGTGTGGGGTACTTGTATACTCACTGTAATTAATGACTGAAAACCATTATAAAGAATAACATTATTACAAAATAGCATTATATGAAAAAGGTAGTTCTCCAAATGCAGTCAGATTTTGAATGCATCATGCAATTAATTGTATATTGCCCAACTAAATTCTGTCCCATGCTTGTGTATTGATGCATGTACACAAATGTTGTCCATAAACGTGTGATATGCTTACCAGCATTTGTGATTACGACTACACAATTATTCCTATGTATTCAATAAAGCCAGGTCATACAATCTGCACATGAGTCATATGTACAAAACTGTGAAAACTTCTTCATGTTTAAAAAAACTGGATATTCAGGGTCATTTAATCCAGGTACCAATTATAAACTGGTCTATTATTCAGAATAACTTCAATTACCTCACAATCAGGCATTCAGGACATAATCTAGAGTTTTTCTGCAACAAAAAATAGTCATTATACCACAAGTCTTAACATAGAACTTACATTGCCGAATGGCAGTGGAACCCAGAATGCTTGTGGGCATTCAACAAATGTTGGGATAGCGATATAGCCCTGGCTGGAGTTTGCACCGTTGCTTGTAAACGACACCTTTACATTGCCTGATGCAGAAAGCCAGGGTGATTCTGGAGCGCTGTCACCACAGTATGTCCGACTTAGAGATGGATTGTTATAGTCTGTTATCTATAGAAGAAGCAAGATATAATTCAATTCTCTTTTAATTCTGTTAATGTGTATATTGTTCTACAGCACTGCATTTATAATCTTTGTGATTGCACCAGAAGTTGATTAATAAATATCAAAGGATGACTTATACAGGTAAAATGCAAAGTATTGTATGATTTTTCAGTACATGTTATTTCCTACGGCTTCATAACTGTAAAACTTCCCACTAACTATCAATACCTTGAATGGATTTTGCATATCCTTTTAATATAAAAGTCCAAATTGCAAAAAATTGAAACATCCAGTATTGATACAATATGAGAATATTAATTTACTGAACTGTTTTCTTCAGGAAAGCTTTGCCCCCATCTTTAAGATAACTTACTGTAAGGCTGTCCTCCATACACGTATCATTCACATAGTCTCCGTTATCAATATCCATCATCAAGAACTCAATGCTGATACAGCCTTCATCGTTGGTGATATCGGTAACACACGTCACATTGTCGTCATAATTTGCAGGATAGTTTGGAGAATAGATCGGCTGTCCAGATGTGGTGATGTTACCTCCGCAAATATCAACTACAAAATACAAGCAAAGATAATATATTAGTTAGGATATCCTGCATATGAAGATTCTTGGCCTCTGATTGGTCAAAACTGCAGACATGAAATGTGCTTGTAAGTGCTGGGCAGTGTAGCAAAAAAATATTGACCGGGCATAGTTCTCCTCGCAAGTACAATGCAAGGAAGCAGTATTTGTGAGAGAAGTTTACAATGGATAAGTGCAGTAAGACAGGTACATTTCCTTTGACTTTACAAATAAATACATCTTAATAGGCATATTTTGTTTAAAAAGCATGCTGTGGTTTTGCCATATCAAATCTCAGAAAGCCTTAAAGTGACTCAGTAACATTGCCTCAGATTCTGAAACAAAATCCTAGATTTAGCTCATGCTGCAATCATAATTATAAACATTTAGGTCAGTCAGGAATCCCATGACTTATACAAGCCTATCACTATTTTATAACACTACAGTCTATTAGGGAAAATGAGTATGGGTGGTATAAAACCATTTGTTCATCATACGATCTACCCACTCCCATTGAGGCTGTGTTTGCACCTATCATACTCAGCCTGACATCTTGGTACAATAGCAACATGCATCATGTACAATGAACTCATACGCATGCATCATTCATATGCAATTTTACATGGATATTGACATCAGCCAAAAAAATACATGGGGGCAGGAAATACCATAAACAGCCCCCAAAATAGGCCCAAAATTCGATCAAATCGCCCCGTAATGATTACGAGCGGCCGCTCGCTCTCTTCTAGCTTCATATTCATTGTGTGCATTTCTTGGTTGACACGTACACGCGCGCTGAATCTCCGTGTAAAATTATATATACAAAAAATTGGTCGTAAAAAACTCTGACCATATTCCACACCTTACCTGGCTTACCATGTCGCACGTACATACGCCAAAACACATACATTTTCGCGGTTGCGAGATCGAGACGGAGCGTAGGGGCCGAGTTTTTTGTGGTCGATTTTGTTTGGATAGATCATATTAGCTAAACCTAGACCACTAAACATCGCTAAACTGCAATCAATTTCCATCACGATCACCGCAATTTTATAAAGTTTTCGTGAATAGAGGTATGAAATTAAAGCCTATTTTGTGATTATTCTCACCATGTTTACTAAATTTTAATAATCTTTCTTCAAAGTAAAAAAAATCAGACAAAATCGCTGCGACTGACACACGTACAATACAGTGCAGTAACGCTGCAGCTGCTGTGTATGTGACTGTGACTGTGAGCTGAGCTGAGTTAGAGTCAAAGAGATTTGACACTTTGAAATTGCTATCTGTTGGTTTGCATCATTATTGCCGTGATTTCAATATAGTTTTGTGATTAGATGTATGAAACCTGAGCTTAGAATTAGTAAAAGTATTTAATGTCTACGTTTTTAAACGACTGCCTGATTTTCTTGTGAAAATTTTACTTTGAAAAATGATTATCGAAATTCATGGCCAGAAATAATCACAATCTAGGGTCTTTTTAATATGTTACAGTTCTTGCATCAAATCAATGCATGAAAACTTAGTTATTGAACTAGAAAAGGGGGTTTCTTTTTTAATAGGCAATTATGAAGCAGGAAGCCCAAAACCTACTAAACAAATCTCAACAAACTGTATCCTTTTATGAATTAACTAGATGGAACTTCAACTGCGCGCAGTCGAAAATGATGCCTCCGTCATAGAGCAAGTTTACAAACCAAAACAGAAGAAATTTTTCAAAGTCAAGTTCAATTGTAATCCATTAACAGGTTCTCAAAATATCGTAATTACAAGCAATTTCTCATATACATATATGATCTTTGACCTCATGACTCTAAAATCTACTCAGTTCATTGGCTCTGCAAGATGTCCTGAGTTAAATAGTAATCCATCTGTCAGTTCTAATGAGAATGCGTTCACAGGCTATTTTTGCATACATAATGAGCCCATGACATTTGTCCTTTGACCTTGTGACCCAAGAATCTACTCAGTTCATTGGCTCTGCAAGATACATACATGATCTAAGTTTGGCAGGAATCCATCAATCGGTTCTTGAGATAACGCGATCGCGAGCTGTTTTTGCATACATAATGAGCCCTGTGACCTTCGACCTCGTGACCCCAAAATCTAATCAGTTCATCGGCTCTGCAAGAAACATACATGACCAAAGTTTGGCAGTAATCCATCAATCTGTTCTTCAGATAACGCAATCACGAGAACGGGACGTACGAACGGACGGACAACCCGAAAACATAATGCCTCCGGCTACTTCGTAACGGAGGCATAATGAAAAAGTAGCCCCAGAAATGGAAGAAAAAAAGACCCCGAAAGTGGAAAAAGTAGCCCCCAAAAAATTCCCCAAAACTTTGTAATGGAGACCCCAAAATGAAAAACTTTGATTGACATAAGATGTTAATCCTGGTGGCAATTGCCCTTTTGCATGAGGTCTGTCATCTGTGTGCAATGTATTTCATCACAATGAACCAATCATTTGCACAGATTCTTTTTATGACGGATACAATAAACAATCTACTGAACACATTATGAATCCTGGAGAGGTACCTTCAGGTGAAACAGAGAAATATTGTAGAGTAAAGCCAGTTCCTTGTGGTGCCGGATTACCATCACTGACAAAGGTCAAGGTAACTTCATTGGTCAATGAGATGATATCTGCAGGAGTACTCTGACATAAGGATATAACTGGCTCTCCTGAACTCGTATCTTGGATCTGCAAGCAAATATCAGAGGCCAAATATAAGGTTATTACCGTGTTCTGAAAACAATGTTATCTTTTATGTTAGCAAACGATGTTAATTGTCAAACAAACTGAGGAACTTACACTTACCATTGGTACTTGCTTTGCACATTTACCAATCACTTGTCCAAATTTTGATTAGTTATGACAATTATGCTTCTCTCATATTAAAGGTAACATCGTTTTCAGAATACCATCCCAATTAGTAATCAATTATGAAGCTATGGGTTTGGAGTGAGCAAAGCTATTTCATTCTTCCTTTGGCTGAAGTTGGTGCCGTGCAAAAATAAAATAAACTGAACTGAACTCTTCCTGGATCGAATAGAGACAATATGAGATATGGAAGAAAAATCTAACTGTTATATATTAGTGGCACATAAATATGTGCATGTATTGTAGAGAAAAGTATTCAGATACATATGTTAGCTGGCAGTGTGTGGTTTAGCGGTTCATGCACTTGATTCTCAATACAAGGGTTTAGGGTTTGAATCCCAGCCCATCCCAGCCCGGCTCAGTACTAACATCATTTGGCAAGACATTAATAATCCACTTTTGCCACTCTCCACCCAGGTGTAAATTAGTGTACATCCAATATACCAAAGCGCTACATATTTGGCTGCTAGCTATGACCAGGGAAATAATATTGGAGCACCACATGATGGATATGTGCGCTATATATTAAGAAACCACCATTGTTATTAAAGGCATAGCCATATTGAAAAGAATTATAAAGTCACCCCAGTCTTTCGAATTCTCAATGTCTCCTCAGAATGGACAGAAGGAACGAAACACCAAGACTAAAGCTAGATTAGTATCTGAACCTTTTAAATTAATTTAAAAGGACTAACATAACTTTAATAAAACAGGCCATCCACACAAGCTTGATCAGAGGTGGGGCCAGAGGGAGAGAGAGAGGGGGTGGGTGAGAGGGGGAGGGGGTGGGGTGAGGAGAGAGGAGGAGGGGAGTGGGGTGAGGAGGGGGTGGAGTGAGGAGAGAGGGGGTGAGGAGAGAGGGGGAGGGGAGTGGGGTGAGGAGAGAGGGGGTGAGGAGAGAGGGGGAGGGGAGTGGGTGAGGAGAGAGAGAGGGGTGGGGTGAGGAGAGAGGGGGAGGGGGTTGAGTGAGGAGAGAGGGGGAGGGGTGGGGTGAGGAGAGAGGGGGAGGGGATGGGGTGAGCAGAGAGGGGGAATGGGTGAGGTGAGGAGAGAGGGGAAATGGGTGAGGTGAGGAGAGAGGGGGAAGGGGTGGGGTGAGGAGAGAGGGGGAATGGGTGGGTGAGGAGAGAGGGGGAATGGGTGGGGTGAGGAGAGAGGAGGAGGGGAGTGGGGTGAGGAGAGAGGGGGAGTGGGGTGAGGAGAGAGGGGGGTGGGGTGAGTAGAGAGGGGAAGAGGGTGACCAGTTGGCTTTCACCACTACTTATGATCAGAAACAAAACATGACATACCGTAACAGAATCACCCTCTTGGCATGGTACACCTCCATTAATAAATACAAGGAATCCAATCGTAAAGGAGATGACGTTTCCTGGTGGAGCACGGATGGTATTCACACAGGTAACATTCACAGGATATGAACGGGGAAACCTAGGGCTGGTCACCAATCCTGGTGCTAAGCGTAAAATGTTCTCTCCGCACGCTGAATACAAACAAAAAAAGAATTTAGAATAAATACCACACTCTATCAAGACTATCAAATCAAAAATGTTTGGGGATCATTCTCATCAAGCCGATTTTGGCTTTCGTGATTCCCCACTTCCTTTTATCTTATGTTGATAATAAACAAATATGTATATAATTTTGATGTTTTAAAAGAGATTGAAATAAATGAAATGAAATGAAATGAAAAATCTTTAAAAAATTAAATGAATTCATAAGTTTGCGGTTTCACCATGAGGGAAGTCCTTCAAAGGACTGTTCGGTTTGAGAAGGGATAGAAAAGACAGTGAGAGAGAGAGACAATTCGCACAATGGAGGGCTACTTAGTATTGTATGGATAGAGTTGGAAAATTAATCTTTCATGAGAGAAATCGAGAGAAGGACTGGTGAACCAGGGGGATGTTTCACAAAGATCCTAAGTTGAACTTACTGGTATCTCTAAGTTAGACTTATATGCATAAATGCTGAGAAATACCCATACACGTACTATTGAAATTGTACAATAATACATAAAAAACATACCAATCTGAATTATGCCTCAGTCACACATTTGCGTACTTGGCTTGCGTATTGCTGCATATTTATGGCAAGCCGTTTTAACATTTATTCCTATTTCTTGATATCAAGAAATGATTATCTGTTGTAAAGCAATGGTAATTCTTGATATCAAGAGTTGGATTTCTTGATATCAAGAAATAAGAATAAATGTTAAAAAGGCTTGCCATAAATACGCAGCAATACACAAAGGTGTGACTGAGGCATTAATTCTATCACTTAGACTTTAATGTTTCTTGTTGTATATTCAAATAAAAGTTTACTTGAACTTAAGATTGATTGTTTGGATATTCATATTCTAAAGACACAAATTCCAGTTGCACTACCTTCTCCTTTTTGAATACCCATGAGCTGGCAATCTCCTGGCAGTACATACACAAATCAAAACCATATAATACAGAAAAGCTATTGATTTCAAATGTTCGAAAGTCAACATACATGCAAACATAAATTCTAGTAAAAACTTTATTTTATTAATATCATACTATAGTATATTATCTTTTGGATTTTATTTAGGAATTAGGAATCAATCTGTAGAAATCTGTTAAGTACGAAATTATAGTTTGTTTTAGCTGTATTGTTAGGTGCATCAAGACTTTCCAGTCTATTTTTTGCTTTAAAAGTCCATCTTGATTATTATAATCATTTTGAGTATAGCTTTTAAGAGAAAGAATGAGTTACCTCCAGGGAGAGGGCAGTCTTCCTGAGTACATGAACGGGTAGCAGGTGGGACTGGGAGACCAGCACACGTTGAAACGTCCACCTCGACACCTTCCTCGACACATGTCACGTCTCGGGATTCGGTACCCACTCCGCAGGTTACGGAACACTAATCAAAACAAAAAACAAAAACAAAAGATAGATAAGGCAGGGGTCTCTACATGAAGCAAATATGTGCATTTTAAACTGAATGTTTTCCAAGACATTAAAGCCCCCCTGCACTACTTATAGCTACATGCACCCTCTATATAGCTAACAATGCCTAATCGGTGACCGCTGGTCCCCCCATGATCCCCTTTTTCTTATGTTAATTGAGAGCCGATTTGATGAGATAACCCCTTGTCAGTGACCATGCTGGGTGGTCTAATCCCTCCTGGCCAAACTAGTGTGGATAGGCTTTAATAGGAGTTTTCATTACCTTCAGGATAAATATATGATCTGTCTTCTTTCATAACAGCATTCAAACAAAGTAAGGATAGGGTGAGGTTATTATTTGGTATTTACAATTCCATCGATATACAGGTAGTGGTTTTTCGTCATCTTGATAGTTCCCTCAATAGTTTAACAGTGTAATACAATCTTTCCGCTACTTACTGCCTATCATCGAGTTAACCGGTTGAAAACCAAGCCCGTGAAAAATCAGGATGAACAAAATTGAAACTCATCTCAAACAAGCTAAATGTAAAGAAAAAAATTGCATCCCTGTTTCTATTTCTTTCAATTTTACATCAAATGTTGAATTATCAAATTAGCTATGGCAATCCATGCCAATATTTTGACACACAGGTAATATATATCAAATGAATATCTTTAATGCACAATAAAAAAAGAGATAAGTTACTAACCTCTCCCCATTCGCCAGTCATGTAATCTAGTGACATAGCTCTGACTGCTTGGTAGGTAGCAGAGAAACCCCTCATATTCACAGTGGCATCAGTTAGAAAGAGCACCTCCAGCATTGGACTGGTTGATTCATAAACGTAGGGGAGAGCAACTTCATCACAAAGACTGTTAGCGCTGTTGGTTTGCAGATCAACAAGCTAGATAGATAAAGATTAAAGGGAAAGTTGAGTTCTGTTGCAGAGGGCGCTACACAAAATAATTTTTTGCGAGATATTGAAAAACTGAGTGTCAAATTTGAAAGAACATACAATTTAAATGATAAAATCATCTTTGTGTGATTGAAATCGGTTCAGAGACGGCTGAAATATCCATAAATATAACGATTTCTAATATTTGTGTACCACTACAAATATTCGATAATTTGACAAAAACGTTGAAAAAACGAAAGAGCGCCTTTTACATCATATTTTAACAAATGCCGATGTTTGCTTTTTTGTTGGCTTTTTCGTGTTGGTTATATTACCATCAACCAGCTGGTCCATGTATTGTTATTTTTACTTAAATAATTAATAACGGTCACCATATCTTTTTGAAAGTGGAGCTGAATTGATAAGATCATATTGGCTAAATTTCGCTAATTTATGGGTCTAAAAGTACCTTCATAGCAATTTTAGGTTCTAAAAGAGCACTAGAAATGTCATGGATAAGAATAAGAGCAATAACCATGCACTTTGAAGGCATTTGTGGTCTGAAAACAGAACTCGATCAACTATCCCTCTAATGTTAAAGAAAATGCAGGTACAAAATGTGTACCGGTATTCTGGTTAGGTGAAAATGGCTTTGTGGTTTTGCTTACATCAACATAGGATCATTCAAAGAATAAGTTTGTGTAGGCATGGAAACATATAATGTATCTCTGCCTTATACGGTCATGTATATTCAACCCACAAGAGTAATTCAGTGCAGAAATTTCCTTCAATTAAAACCTAAACTCACCAGCCTGATCGAAGGGTGCTAAACTTAATCAGTATATTTCCAATTTTGATCAAATTCATTCCCTTTTCAGCATTAAAGTAAAATCTCAAGACACAACTAAAATCATGTCGGTGAGTACTGCACATTGTTTGAGCTTCATAAACATGTTATGAATATTTTCTAGTTCAGGCACCAAAACAAAGACATATTCCTTCAACTCATGCAGCAAAAAGGAACATGTAAGATATCTTTAAACCTAAGATTAGGGTCTTGTTTGTGCAAGAAAGATTTTTTTCCTGTCAAACCTTTTTTTCAATGATTTCAAGTTTTCAGGTGGGGATAAAACTGTATAGACTTCGCAATGTATTGAAAGATAAACCATACTTATTAAAACAGGGGCTTATAGTGTAGCGATCACCAAAATTATATTTGTGTTGTATGTTACTAATTCCATGTATATTAAAAATATAAAGAGGAATTTTACAAGTTAAATACACTCTAAATTAACATAAAAGCGATCTGCGAGAAGATTGTTTGAAATAGGGCACACATACATTCTAGCTGTACACAAGTTATAACTTTAGCCGATTAATACACTTTAAAAGTGATACGAGGCTGACTGTGATGTTTCTAGCAAGCTTACCCTAACAGCATCATAATTACATCCTGGTTCAAGCAGCAAGTCAGTGAATGTGATCCTGATGATGAAGTCTTCAGGAGCTACCAAGATCTTACTGCATTCCAGGTCAGCAGGATAATCAGCTGGGTATCCAGGACTCTGCAGAGTGTAGGTGGTACTGCCCTCAGTGGGGTAACTCTGGTCACAACCATAAGGTAGAGGACAGGGATCTAGGTAGCACTCCCTCGACTCTGAGGGGCGGGTCATGTTAGAGCAGTCCATCTCGTCAATCACAACACCGGATCCTTTCCTGGTCACGCACGACACTCCACGGGTTTGGACACCAAGGGCACAGGTCACGGAGCACTGGAGATTGAAAAGATTCAAATTATATTTACATGTCCACAAAGATAGTTACATTTATGTGTATCATTCTTGTATTTCAACAGTCTTGCATCACGATAAAGCCTAAACTAAATAAGATCTTGTATTGCCCTCTTGGTGTAAGAACCTGGGTCGGTCAGTCAGATTTTTTTTCCCCCCTTAAAATAGGCGACCGTTGCCCAAAAAAACTAAAAACCAGAAATGTCGCCCAAATCTTGCTGGTTTCTAGCCGGTGCAGTTCATGGTATATACACGTACATCAGGCTGGGGTCTACTTGTTTTTTTATGCTAGCAGGATTTAGAAACTAGGGCAGAAGAAGGGTGAGAATTTGGAAATTATTTGATGATTTAATGCATTCATATAAAAAAATTTAAAAAAAATCTTTAAAAGTTTTTTTTTTTTAATTTTATTTAAAAGCCAACTGTAGATTTTAAGATTTAAGTGTCTGTCGCAAAGGGAATTACATTTTTTTAAAGCATTTGTTATTATTTCCATCCTTTTAGTGTTGCTGTAAATGTAACTCTTCTCATAAAATATCATTTACAATCAATCACAACAACTTGCAAGGTTAACAGGTAGTTTTGTAGACTTATGATTGATAAAACACTGCAATCAATTGAAAGTGTCCCCAAAAAATACCAAACCTTCAGGTTGTGCATTTTCCTATGTGACCTATTTTTTACAAGTAGGGTAAAGCAAGATTCAAAATTGAAACACAAAAATGTTAATCAATGTCTTCAACTTAGGCATCTATAACTCTCTACCCAATAAATCACTCATATCTCCCTGTGATTTACCTGTGATCAGGGAGTCTAACTTTACATTTGATTATCAAGCTGGTGATGTACTTACTGCACTCCATGGTGTAGCTTCATAGACTCCTCCGCAGTCTTCTAGATCACAGATCTCTTCACTGGGTGGTTCTAACAAAGGATTACAGAGAGAACCTACGACAGGCTCAAAATTACCACCAGCAATGGCGTAACAGAGGACATTACGTACTCTGACACCGTCACCGCAGGTCACAGAACAATCACCAAAGTTCTCAGATACCCATGTGTAGCTAGAAAGAAAGGAGAGTGAATTGAATTGAATTGAATTGAATTGAACTTTATTGAATTGACTTAAACTTTATTGAATTGAATTGAATTGAACTTTATTGAATTGACTTAAACTTTATTGAATTGAATTAAACTTTATTGAATTGAATTGAATTGAACTTTATTGAATTGAATTGAACTTTATTGAATTGAATTGAACTTTATTGAATTGAATTGAATTGAACTTTATTGAATTGAATTGAACTTTATTGAATTGAATTGAACTTTATTGAATTGAATTGAATTGAATTGAACTTTATTGAATTGAATTAAACTTTATTGAATTGAATTGAATTGAACTGAACTTTATTGAATTGAATTGAATCGAACTTTATTGAATTGAATTGAATTGAATTGAACTTCATTGAATTGAATTGAATTGAACTTTATTGAATTGAATTTAATTGAACTTTATTGAATTGAATTTAATTGAATTGAACTTTATTTCATTCATCATAAAAACATCATAACAAACATATAAATACAAAACATAGCGTACAAGTTAAAGAGAAACATTTACAATACAATACAACAACAAAAATATATATGAATGTGGAGACAGCTAGGAAAGCCAAAGGCTTTATTTGTGCTGCCACCAAAACAGTAATAATGTATAATACAGTATTATATTGTTGTTAGAGAAGGTGCTTTAAAAAGAAATATATTTTAAAATAGTAAATAGAGGGGGGGGGGGGGGAACAAAAACAAAACAAAAACCAGACCGTGTATAATAAATCTTTATAATCAATCTGCACGTTGATTGTGGATGTACATAGGTCACTCATTAGACACTTCAAATCATCAATTTATCCAACATCAAAATCAAAACAAGTGACCGTACATTGAATGTATTAATAATAATAATAATATTTAATTTTTATATAGCGCTTATTAACAAAGTCATGCAGTAGTTCGATGGAATATACGGTGGCAATAAATCAAATTATATATAAACATTATAAACAGAGGTGTTCAAGTTTAAGACATAAATAAGATTTAAGAACCGTTAGAATTTAAAGAAATCATCAGATGCAAGTAGTTTGCGGTGTGGCATTGGCGCACACAATGAAAATGACATTTAATGATTCCTTAACCTAGAGACAAGTTTGAAACAAAAATGACAGTTATATAACCATCACTCTCCATGTTTATGAATGTGGGAGTATACTTACGTTATGCAATCCCCAGGGTTACAAATCTGAACACTAGCTGGTTCTGCAGCAGGGTCACATGACGTTGAAGGAATAATGACATTAGAATCCTCAGATTCTACACAGTATACAACTCTGGTCTCTACACCATTGCCGCAGCTAACGGAGCACTGAAAGAAAAAAAGATTGGATTACTAAGGTGATGCAACATTATCAAAATGCAGAAAGAAGAGGTCAGGCCCGACTAGTTTCATGATGAAACCACCATATCACATCCAAATCACAAAATACATTTCAATATGTGAGCTCTATCATGTGCATTGTCAATTAATGCTTCATAAGACCTCCAAGCAATTGCAACGTTACAATCGCATAATGTGATGGTACTTGTGATCGTTATCAAACTCCACTTGTGGTGTGATTGACATCAAAACTCTTTCAAGAGACGGTGTCAGTATACTTACAGGACTCCATGCACCGATTCTCCAGACTGGATTGCAAGTAATTGGTGCTTCACAGGGTTGAGAATCAGTGGGTGGCTGTAGACCAGCGTCTGTACAATCCTGATCAGTGGCTCTTACAGGAGCTCCATTCATGAAGGTAATACAAACTACAAAACGAGTCTGGATTCCTGCACAGTTGCACTCAGAGAAGGTGGATGTCAGGTATGTGTACCTATAAGATAAACAAAGATAAACATCATCATCTGTACAAGTACACAGTACAGTAATGTAAGCAAAACAACATGGACGGCATCAAGAAAGGCACTTCGCTTCTTCAAATTCCATCTTATCAGATTACCTTTTTCCTTAACATGAATGGAAAGCCTAGACTTATATCTGGACAATATCTGTTGCATTAATCAACCAAGGCCAGTAAAGGAGTATAAACTACTTATTCTTGATACGTCATGTACAATGGAAATCATATTTGTTGTTTTATAGTGTATACTTAGTTTGTACATTCTTTTTCTCGAATAGAGTAGTGGACACATGGAATAGCCTATCTGAAGAAGTGGTTAATCCCCCATCTGTAAATGCCTTCACAAACAAACTGGATAACTATTGGGAAAAAATCACCTTCAGTATATGACCCTGAAAGTAACTAGAAGAAGTATGCAGAACTATTCCACCCTCCACACACACACCTCGACACAAAATCAAAACAAACAGAAGTATTGATGTAAAGGAACCCATTCGATCAATGAACAGGCCCTGTCTTACCAACATCGATGGATTAAAGTAAAGTAAGTAAAGTAAAGTATGTGATATCTTCATTGAGAGTTTTCTATAGAAACAATTGGTTATAAACCTGGAGGACTAGCTGAGGGGTACTTACTCTGTGGGGCAATCTCCTTGATCACATAAGATGGCCGATGGTGGAGCAGCCTCAGAGCATTGAGTGTTACTCACTGTCTGGTTATCATTGTCAAGATCAACACACGCCACTGAACGCTGCTGAATACCAAAGCCACATGTAGCAGAACACTAAGAGATGACACAAATGACAGAATGTTACAAGATTGTCAAAAATCATGGATTTAGTAAAAATGAGTTTATTTATTTATTTATTTATTCAAGTTTTATTTGAAATAGAGGGTAGGTACATTCAGTTTAACAAAACTGTGCATCACTTGTGCATTTAGTTGGTCAAGACAAAAGTGGTAGATAATTTTTGTCAATTTGCTTGGACAACTAAAAGAGCATGGTAATCGTTACCATGACAACGACCAAAGACGTCGTTTCGAAAAATTTAAACTAGTGGATTCGTTGTTCAGCAAAATAGGGGTAGTAGCACATAAAACTACAGAAAATTCTACAGAAAATGTTAAGTACACATTAAAATGGCAACGAAGAGCCGTGTGCTTATAGGTCCATTTGTCCAACCAGACGGATCTGTGTTCATCATTAAATCAACTGCCCTATTTCTTTTTTAGCGTATCCGGACACATACCGCCTGGACAGCCATCCCTCGGACAACTACCTAGGATAGTTGTCCGAGGGGGGGGGGTAGTTGTCCTAGAGGATGGTTTTTGAAGGTGGTAGTTGTCTGGGGGGTAGTTGTCCTAGGGGTAGTAGTCCTGGAGGGTGGTTGTCCTAGGGGGGTAGTTGTCCTAGAGGGTGGTTGCCCCAAGGGTGTAGTTGTCCTAGAAGGTAGTTATCCTAGGGGTGGTTATCTGGAGGGTGGTTGTCCAGGGGGTAGGTGTCCTAGAACCCTTTTTTAGATATTCATTTTGAATGTAGCCTTATCTGTGAATTACGTTTATATGGACAAAATTTTCCTGCTTTATTATAGCTTTAAGTGAAATGCCCTTAACAAGATACATTTACGATGACAGATAGCTCCTAAAACATATATGGGGCCTGTCACCACGAAATGAGTCCAGTTGGTCAAAAATTTTATTCCTGTTTTTAAGTATTATATGAATCTACATTAAGTAAGCTTTAAATTAAGGGGTCACACATTAAAATTGATAAATTATATCCAGAAATATGAACAAAAACCTAATTGGACTTTATAAACAATGGGATTACCCGGTTTTAAAAATGCATCATTTTCGTGATAATTTCAGATTACATAGCCTATATTATTTGCCAAAAAATGTTAGGAGATATTTTCGTGACCTAAGCTCTGGGGACATAAACTACAAGACATTAATAAGTCGATTTTTGGAAAAATCTTAAATGTGGTAGGTAGGTCAATTTTCAGTACATACACACTATACATCGCTATTACTACGATTGAGCCTAATGCGACACTGGACTCATTTCGTGGTGACTGGCCCCATATAATAGTATATATAATAGTATAGTATATTTGTAAAGCACTTAGAGACATTTGTATTAAGCGCTATATAAAAATTAAATAATATTATTATTATTATTATATACTTATATATACAAAGTTATTTCTAGTCTTGATATTCTTACCTGTCCATATTCTCCTACTACATAGGCATAATTTCCACAAGGTTCTAGATTACAGTCAAAGGTAGTAGGAGGGGCTTCCAAGCCAGCACCAACACAGTTAGTACTGCTAACAACACCACCCTCTGATGATCTGCATAACACAACCCTAACAAAGGATTGGCTGCCACATGGGAGTGTGCACTAGAAAGGAAGATGGAACCAAACAAATAATTGTGAACCTCTTTAGAGATTGAACACACGTATGAAAATATTGTGGTGTACATCAACCATAAATAAACATTCTCCAAGATTTGATCATTTTTCCAATGACTCTTTATATAAGAAGTGGATTTAAAATGCACTTTTGGACCCCTGATAACAAAAAGCTGGTGTTATGAAATATACAAATAATGACCGCTTTGAGGGGCATGGTTTAAACTATTACACAAGGTGATCTAAAATCTGTACTGTCCCTGAGACATGTGCATCCCACATTTGGATTCTCAAAAAGGGATATTTTGACAAACTACCCAGTTCCCACTGCGAGCATCCATTGATATCTTAATGCATAGCTATTCTGTCCTTGTATTGAAGCCACGAGTAGAGCTATGCTGTCCAGCAGTCAGTATTGCAATCATACCCGACTTTTAACCAATCAGAGGGCTAAAATCTTAATATGCAGTTTATAATATCAGATATATGACAATAAACCAAAATGAAAGGTAAACATTTAAGACAATGGGACAGAAAAAAGTACCTGAAAACAAATATGGAATTAAAATTGAAGACAAATGTAAAAAAGATTGATTGCTTACCTCTGGGAAAGGTTGTACCTCATAAGTATATGTGATTGTACATGGTGTTAGATTACAGCTTTCTGATTCTACTTGTCTCACCAACCCAGCACAGAAAGAATCGTCTACGACTTGGTTTGATTCGCTCACGCAGAAGATTGAACGGCTACGCAAACCAGGTCCACATGACACTGAACACTAAAAAGGACAAAACAAGATCATTATAAAGTTGATCGTAGTCTTTTTGGAACACACCCCCCGCTAGTGTATTAAGTGGTTATCTCATGGGATCTATTCATTAAAGTGCAGCATAAACTGATAGTGGTTTTCATAGCAAAACAATGTCCAAAACATTATTCATGATACAAAACGGAAGATATAATGATCTACATATTAACATGTAGATGTCATGAAGCAAGCACCAGTATAGCTACATTAAAGACCCCCAGGATTACTAAAATGTACAAGTCATGTATGTTTCTTTCCTGGGGACCTAGTAATGAGGTAATTCCATATAGTAATAATGGTGGCTTCCTCGCCTCGAGCAAGTTTCAGGTAATTGTCAATAACGTTTGCTTAATAAGTAAGCATAAAATCTAAATACGTTTTACCGGTCTATCGTAATAGATAATGTGATATTGATATGATACTTAGATCAAGAAATTCATAATAATATACAAAGCCAACTAAAGATCTGGAACTTTGACAAGTAAAGACTCACGTCTCCGAATGATGTAGCAACATATCTGTAAGTATCTGTGCAGATTTCTTGAGTACAGATCTGTGAGGAGGCAGGTCTTTGCAGACTGGCACAGTTGGAATCATCAACAACCATCCCAGCCAGGCTTTGACAGAATACTGTTAACTCCTGAACGCCCTCACCGCATGTTACTGAGCACTAAAAAAATTAAAGATTGAAGATTAAAAACAAACAAACAAACAAAAACAAACATTGATTGATATCACCATCTAATAAAACAGCTTCCAGCAAACGATTTGTACCAAAATACATTTGTAGATCTTCACTTGAATGTTCATAGATTTTACTGATCCATATACATGTAGCTATATAAATGTTTAAAAACAATTAAATGCTTACTGATCATTTATTTACTATGCACAATACCAGGAACTCCAGCCATTGTGCATTGTGAATACATAACCATGCAGCTGTCCTGCACAGCTAATGTGAACACAAACATTACTCCTTGATAAACATGCTTCCTTGGTTTATTATACCGGTAACTAAAACGAGTACAAGAAGATGAACTTACTGCTCCATTTGGAGAAGTTTGGTAGAAGAAGGTATCAACCACTGTTCCTTGGCATGGCACAGGATTACAAGTCCTTTCTGTCACAACCGATGAGAAGAGGAGTCGACAGATCTCAACTGACTCAGAGGTACCATCAGATGTGGCGCAGAAAGCAGTACGGCTCTGTACTCCAGTATCACAAGTCACAGAGCACTAATAATGACAAAAATAATAAATTTGAATTTATATAATAAAAATAATAATGATATTGAATTCTTATATAGCGCACGTATTGACCTTGCAAGGTCCTCGAGGCGCTCCAACATTACCTGGCTATGCTAGGCTGCTGATTTCGACGCTCACAGCATTTTAAGGAATTCCTTCTTACCGGTACCCATTTAATACCTGGGTGGAGAGTGGCAAATGTAGATCAATGTCTTGCCAAAGGACATTAGTGCCGCGGCGGGACTCGAACCGCATACCTTGTGATCGAGAGATATTACCCCGGCCATCAGATTCATTGACGCACACAGTGTGCACGATTTCCACTCCCTGGGGAGTATTCCTACCATATGGTCAGCATGAGGGCATATGGCAAGTTCTATTTTTACAAATGTTTTCATCACCTTACCAGGTTCCAGTTTTTCTATTGGGTATGGAGTGGCAAATGTAGATTAATGTGTTACCAAAGGACATTGGTGCCAGATTGTGTTATTTCTCTTCTCCTATCTTCTTCCCTCTTCTTTCTTCCTCCTTAACCTCCTCCTTCCTCTTCTCCTTCTCCCTCTTCCATCAATCTGGCACCAACATTATGTACCATAAATCGAGTACACATATACAGTAATTTTAGTTGAAATTTGTGTAAAGTAAAGTTTGAATGGAATCTCACCTCTCCATAGTTATCGTAGAAAAGAACGTAGCTAACCCCAGGACAGGGGGTAGAAGCGCACTCTATAACCTCTGGTGGACGCTCATCAGTACACAATGAATCATCTACAATGTTGCTTTCCGAATCAACACAGTTCACTACACGGGTCTCAGAACCAGTCCCACACGTAACTGAACATTGACCGCTTAAGATCTGGTACGAGGCTCTGTTGATGAACAATATTATTCATGTTAACAAAGCTACATAAAACGCAATAGTAAACATTAATATAAAAACAGACAGTACCATAAATCTAATGCATACTTTTTAAAGATAAAGATCAGTTATGGTCATGCGATTGCATTGTGAAAGAAACGTTGTGAAATCGATCAGAAAAGGTTGATCATCTAGCATAGATGTACTGCAAGGTTCTGGAATCATCAAAATTATAAAAAATTTGGCCCAGTCTTCATAAAGTTACAAGCACTGTACACAGAAAGATGTATATGGGACTATGAACACGTGCGCGACACGTGCATTTTTATCTCTCACAGTCCAATAGATAAACTAATTTACCAAATATATCAAATAGTAGGCGGTTTCCCGGCAAATTTTTTATCATCATGTATTATTCAAAACATATTCTTTCACATGATTGGTAATAAGAGCTTCCATTTCATTTTTTGAAATTGGGGTGTTTCCGATACTGGTCTTTACCTTTAACATTTAATCAATGGATATTTCTTTTCTTTTTAATGAGTTCACCCATTTTCATACAAAATTCAACCTGTTCAAAATCAAACAAAACCAAAACGTGCAGCACAATGTGCAGGACACAGAAAGTCACTTATCTTGGAACATTTGGTGTTGATTCATTCAATTAGTGGTCTATCTAGTCACCAATGTAACGCATACTTACTCTCCCACGGGCTGTGGTCCACAGCAATATTCCCTATCAGTGGGCTTGTCCTCTGGACACCTACTCTCATCAGGTACGAGCACTGTGGTGCCTTCTAACTGACGCTCAACACAGAACACATTACGGTAAGAGAAACAGTCCGCCTGACAATCACCATAACTACCTACTAGCCATCTGAAATCAAAACACACGAGAGAGTGTCATGTTTCTGCATTCTATAAGTTCCTTTTACTGTCTATGTCTGTCAAAATTTCCTCCATGACACACATGATTTTGTAAACAAGAGCTCTGCTTACTATGAACAATGTTAAAAGCTTCTTGCCACAAATTCAATGCTAGGTTTGTCATCTTCTGTATGGACGACTCAAACGAGTTCTTAGTGAGTATATCATCATTAATAATAATAATGATAAAAACGGCGCTTATAAAGCGCTTACCACTTAAGTCTTTAATATAGGCTATTATCTTACATTATATATTTTTTATTTTCTGCCCACCATAATAGCTTTGGAGGCGACTTTTTGACCAGTTAATACTTTCCTTTACTTTCCTTTTCATCTTTTCATTTCCTTAACCCTTGATTCTCTGTTATTACCATGTTATGATATAATCATTTACGATTATTGCCTATTCTCTCTACCGTACTGATCATTTTGGTTGTACAGATCTACAAAACCAAACTCATGTACGGTATACTAATTCCATATAATGCATCAATTTTATTTATCAAGATAATGTCATAACTATCTAACTCACAATGGTTTGATAACTAATCATTCAATATTTTAATGACAATGTTTTGACAACTCACTCTGGAACACATACTCCTCCTTCACAGTCATACATGCTGACAACCTTCAAGCACTGGCCATGAACACACATCTGTTAAGGAGAGAAAGATGTTTTCATCAAAGTGCATATGTAATCAGTTTAAAATGTTTTTATCTGTTATAAACATTTGAAATACATGTATTTACCTTGCACATAAACAGCATCCAATAAACAATGTCAACATATGTAAATCTTGAATATAGCTCAAACCTTGTGATATTACATATGTACTTTGATAAAATAACATGACTGACAAACCTGGCAGAGCTTTAACACATTACATGAGAACAAATATTGGTAAATGCTCTTTAAAAAAATACACACATGAGTAAGAGAAAATATATTCATTTTCACAACATTTTCAGTAGATTACATCAATCTTTAAAGGAGACAAAACTTTTAGATATAAAATAATTTGGAGTATTATAAAGCATTAGTTCCTACACTTGTATTGGTAATGGTCATGAAAAAGGAAACATACACAGAATATAAAGGAATTACCAGAACTCTTCATCACTACTTTCTTTCTACTACATTACCAATGTGAATTCAACATTAGATCAAACCAAAAATACTTCTTTATACAGTCAAACCTGTCTACAGCAACCGCCCAAAGGAAACAAAAAATGTGCATGTTGTAGACAAGTGGTCTTTGTAGACAGGTTCCTTTAGTACATGTTTCAATGAGAAACCATTTTCAAGGGAAGCAAAAAATGTGCTTGTTGTAGACAGGTGGTCCTTGTATACAGGTGGTCACTAAAGCAGGTTTGACTGTACCTCAATGAGTACTCTATGGTTCATATTGAATGGGACTAACATTGACTAGCTCTTGCTATTTGTTCGCTCCGTTAACTCAATGTGTAATCATTTTCATGCTGAAATACAATGTAACTTGAACTTTAGATTCAATTATCGTATTATTCTAGCGGTTATTCCGGTATAAACGGCTGGCATAAGCCTAATTTACTGTTACTTTTGACAGCCAATCAGCGCTTGTTATATTCGCGCCTTGTTCCTTTTAGTTTCTGTTTATATTGATCGATTTCGGCTTTCTGTTTCATTCTTGCATTTTACTCTGGTGAGTGCAAGTCGAAGAGCTTTAGTATGGCTCTCTTCAACGCTATTCTCAGATTCAATTACGTAACTTACCACTCCTCTTCCTGTGCCACACTTGGTTCCATCTAATGCTGGGGTATGATTAGTGATTGCTTCAGATCTACCTGGAACCCTACACTGTAGCTCCAGACACATATCCTGCATAATAAAAAAAAAGAGGTTATAATTATACATCTGACATTATTCCCATGCTGAATGATTGTTAAATGATTAGTTCATTTAAAAGGTATTGAAACAAAAGCAAACTAATTTTTTTTTAGTAAACATTGAATTTTTTATACAGCTACATGTATATTGATCTATGAAATCTGTGAAAATACAAGTGAAGATCTACAAATGCATTTTTGTTCAATTTTCTTAGGCTTTGTGATTATCAGATTTTGTCTTGCTTTTTGCTTCTTTTGCAGCCCGTAACACCTTGGAATGTTATATCTGTGGTATTGTAAATCTGTGTACCAGCATTCCTATTTAGTTTTAGTTTTTCTTGATTTCCAGTGTAAGATATTTGTATTAATTAGTAATTATTATCAAGCTTAAGAGATTATTTTCATTTATGCCTCATATACCTGTGAATAGATGTAACCATCGGCAACAGTAGCCTCAGAGCCAAAGGTCATCTGACATTGTTTGAGTGCATCATAGTAATGACCAGGCATCACGATGACCTCACTGTTATAAGCAGGGAAGTCACCCTCGGTCTCGTCAAGACATGCAGAGTCAGAGGTGCTATACAGAGAAAATACAAAGACAACTTTAAAGCATTAAGAATATTTAGCATGTACGTGTCTATATAAATATGAATCATATTAGCATCTTATTTTCAAATGCATTATAGTACACATTAAAAAGAATTGTGATTTATTTTTTTAGAGGATGGAAGTAGCATGAATTACCGATCACATGGAAAATGACATATATGTATGTGATTAAGATCGCTAGAGAAGATGTTTAGTCTAACCAAGCACTTGATACATTTTCGTTTACTTAATTGAAACAGATCAAGCAATACAAATTGGAAATTGCTTGCAAACATTTATTCCTCAAAATCAACTCACATTACCAGAATCTTACAAATAAACTCTCTATATACCTGTATTATCTGGATTAAATTAAACTTCAAATCTATGACTAACCTCAAGAACTGAAGAAGATCCTTGTTGCTACAAAGAGACCATTGGAACGCTTCACTGCCCCCAGAGTTATCTGTAGCCATGATGTTCTTGTTATTAGCACATCCACTCTCAGAATCATCATGATATATTCCCAAACTATGTCCGATCTCATGAGCCAATGTAAAGATGGTACCGCTAGGACCATGGTCCTGGGCAATGATACAGCGTCTGCTTGGATCACAAGCTCCACCAATATCCTTGGATTTGCCTGTGACAGCATCGTTGCCACCGATCTCCAAATCACGCCTAAGAAATGTAAAAAAAAAAAATTGGGAATAGCGTTTTATGATCTAAATTCTAACAGTAACAGTAACATTGCCAATTTATTCTTCAACTTAATAGTTGAAGAATAAACAGGGCATTGTTTGCTCACAGTCACATCATTATCAACAACAAAAATAAAAACAGAATCTAGTAAAAAAAAAGTTAAGGGTTTGACCGTTGACATTAGAGTAAATAAGAGCAATCTTCATTTCAGCTTACTCCAGCTCCCAGGAGCTCCGTCGCCGCAGTGCGAGTGTCAGCATCATGAGCATGGACATGATCTACACAAAATCAGGTACAATTCATAATCATATGTGAGACATGTTGTTAGGTATATTCTGCACAGCTTCATGGGAACATGATTAACATTTATGATTGCACAGCCAAAAAAGGTCTGTAAAAAGAATCAAAACAGAAATGATAGATATTATATGTAGACCTAGCAATGCAATGCAAACTTGACTTTGGTCGAATACAGTAACAAATTAATTAGCGTGTGGGACCGAGCTTCGCACTTGTTCTAGCAAAATTTACAAACCTTGTGAGAAGAATGGAGATGTCCGATTTTTCGTCCTTCTGCCATTCACAGAAGTTCTTCAGAGAGTGTGATAGTTCATCCGTCAGGTCAAGATTACTCTGTGTTATCAAAAAGATTCAAATCTAATATGTTATACATTTGAGCATAAATGATGCCTGTTTGCAATGCGTAGCAGACGATCACGTGTGATTCCGCACACTTTCATCGCGACCACTATAAGCAACAGGTGCGCGAGTTGAATGAGAGAGTGTGTGTGTGTGTGGGGGGGGGGGCGGTGGTAGGGTTATAGGGTAGGACCTAAAATATTAAATGCAAAAGAGAGATATGTTATTTTCTCAGCTTTGTTTATTAGTATATGCTGAACATGCACTATTCAGTCACCGGAAGGCACTCTCCGCCTCGTTATTTATCATTTTTTTCTGTGGAAGACTTTAATTTGATATGGCAACAAAAATCCCTCACCAAAACATACCGAAACAAACTTATTTTGGGGGTGGACTTCCCCTTTAAGCCGGTGTGGAGATGGCCTATTATCATTTTTTATCCGTGGGAAACTCATCCCCCCCCCTCCCAATTGACAATATGGCAAGTGTATCATACAGTCTAATAACTCATCTAGTGTAGACGAAATCTTAAAATGAGGTAAACTCAAAATATGAAAATGGTTATCAAGCTTGTTCAGCCGAGAATAAACATTTTCAATCCAATCGTTAAGGAGCACAGCTACAGAATTTAAACATCTTAATATATTGTTCATGAAGCTAGAGAGTTCTCTATATCACTGTTAATTGATGATTTAAAAACATACCTGAGGTGCTGTGAAGATGGTGATGCTGGTGACGAGCAATCGAAGATCAGCTGATAAGGTTTTATCTCGGAAGAGACCAGCAACCTACATCATTGATATGAACAGAATTATGTGCATTCTCATCAAATTCCAATGATTCATTCGACTTCATGCATTAATTGTTTAAAAGTAATAACTACTTATAGTTTAAACTATAAAATAATGTTGTTATTCACGCTTCTCCTGATGTCTTACTGCCTACCGTATTGGCAATAATGCATGTGTATCATTTGCTCTAAATTCCTTTTATTTTCCTTTTCAATAGAATTTGACACTAGCACGTGCCAATTCGGATGCATTCTGCGGACTACAAGATCTTATAAATTCAACTACAAAAGACCTTTTTAACGGTAAACGCCCTTTTGATATCTCGTTTACCGGTACTATATTCCATCTTTACTCAGAAAATTTACTTTCCTATGTAAGTCCCTTGTAGTCCATTTATAATTTATTTATCGTTGATACTTTACACGTACAATATCATCTTCAAAACCAATAAATAATCATAATTATGAAAGTCAAAAAGTCAAGGAGCACGGCATTTGAGGAAAGTAAGGACTCATTATGATGGCGTTTATGATAAAGTAGGATATTTCAACAAGACATTTTTTAATGCTAAATATATTACTCATTGCGGATATAGTATCGAAATAATATCGCTAGTGACATTCGTTTGCCATACCTTGCGAGACAAACGAATGTCACTAGCGATATTATTTCGATAAGACATTTTTTGTTTGCACTATACAAATAGAAGAAAGGATAAAACGACAAACTACGGTAAGGAGAAAATGAAGAGAAGAGAAGGAGAAGAGAAAGAGAGGACGTTCAGTTTTTCTCTATATCAATGTTCTGTTTACCTGGTTGAGGATTGTGAAGATGTAGAACTCTGTATCATCACCATGGTAATCAAACATTTTACTGTCTGCCACCACTGATGTTTCGATATATTTTATTCCACTGGTTTCCCGCCTTCCTGAGTCTGATGGTTTTGGCCTTTTACCTACAGAAGAAAAAAATCTAAATCGTAAAACGTCCTAGAAATAATGAGCACCACCAACGTCGAATTTATTATTGTACAGTAATTTTTCATCTGATCCAGAGAAAATAGAGCAGGGGGGTGTTTCACAAAGATCCTAAGTAGAACTTAACACTAAGTTGGACTTAAAAATTTATGGACAGCCATTGGAGCCTTAAAATGAAATATATTCAAAAGCAGAAATTCAAGTATTTTAGACTTTTTATAAATTCCACATAGAATCTCCCATGATAATAGAAAATATGAATGATTTGAATCAACATTTTATGTCTTTTAAAATAACTTTTACAAAATGTTTTCAAGGATACTAATGGCTTTCCATAATTTTTAAGTCCCACTTAGAGATAAGTTCAACTTAGGATCTTTGTGAAACACCCCCCAGTTCTATCAATGTAATACGATCATGGGTATACTATAATCTTTGATGCAGTCTGTCGTAGTTATGGCACATTAATTTGCCCATAGCATGGTTGCATGATACGGGCTACATACCACACGATGACAAGGGTGAATACAAAGTATTTCAACTACATGTTCAACAACTTTCCTTCTCTTGTATATGAATCTTGTGACGAAAAATTCATGACTTAAAAAGTATGTTTAACTTCCATGCATTGGATGACATTAATGAAAGTCACCATGTTTTGGTTTTCGTTATAAACTATTAAAGATGGTTTTAATCCCATTTTGAGACCAAATGTCAGTCCTAAATATATTGACTAACTTGTATACATTACATTTTGGAAACCTTCAAATAATCTCCTGAAATTAGATACAATCATGTTAGGTTTGATGAAGAATGCACAAATCACTTACTTTCTGCGTTCGTTTTAGAGATAGCCCTATCTGCAGGAGATAGTTTGTACATGATATGGGTTGGTACTTCATTTTCTGATGATTTCATCTTCACGATGTGATCCTCTCTTAATGGCTTCAGAACAAAGTCTCCTTCGGGGGTTCTTATCATTCCCACCTGTATAGACGTATATGATGATGGTAATTTAGATATTAAATCCATGAATTAAATTCATTCATCACAAATATTATATTATAAATTGTACGTATTATATTATAATTGTACGTCAAAACAAATAGCATTCAAAATAAATAGACTTGTTTACCAGTGTATTTCATTTTTATTTTCTCTTCCTAACCCTTGCTAATCAGCCATTCATTGAATGCAATGGATGGTATATAAGCAGGGGAGTGTTTCACAAACTTGTCACCAGTGACAAGTGACAGTTGTTATAAGCTACTGATGAAATCCTTGCATCTGATTGGTTATCAGCAGATTTGTCACTGATTTTTGACATTATGTCTTGGAAAAAGGCTTTGTGAAACACCCCCAGGGGTTGGTATGAATGTAATGCTATGAATGATGAGATTTATATGGATGAAGTCCACTTCACATCGATAAGTTGTTGCTACGTTGGGTAAGACTCTGACATGCTTTTTAATGTCAAAAGAAATATCTGCTCAAAAGTATGCATGAAATAAGTAAACGGGTCTATTGCGTTCCCTCTCTATGCGATGTAAAATACAATCCAATCGTCTGATACAATAACAAAGAACAATAAATTGTCATTACGATCGAATCGTATGTTTGTTGTATTTTTGGAGGGGGTGATCAGAACATTGAGTCAAGAATTGTACATAATTATGTCAGAATGAAGGTGTAGGCCGGATCATGCATGAACCAAAACAGTCGGTTTGTGATATCAAAGCAACGATATGAAACCACTGCGGTTTTCATGTTTTTTAAGTCAATTTCCACGCATATAGGTATTATAAAACGACATAATATTGATGGAATTCAAACGAAACGATTCATCAGTGGAAAAGGTTGAACAATCAATTAAACATGAAATAATAGTTTAGCTTAAAAGCGTCGTTAACATACACAACATAAATCCTTGTTGCTTTTCAAGGACGACATAATAGGTATATACTGGTTATAAATTGAGCAATCTAATAAAAATATTTACACTCGTTTTCCTAACTTTCGTTAAATCGTGATTTCTGTTAGTTTCCAAATGAATGCAGTATCTCTCGTTCATTCACACTAGTAACACATTATTCAGTAAAGCAGTATACAAGATATTGCAGACTTTGCTATTATAAGACGCCGTGTCTGACGAATCATCAACAAAAGACCCAATTCGATCTCATCCATCACACAGCAATGGCATAATCGATTTCTATTATCTGTATGATAATAGGATCATCAAGCAAAGCGGTTCATGACCACACCCTACACTCAATACTTTTCAGAGAGATTTTATTCTGGGAATGCTTTTGAAAAATGGCTCTCAAATAAGAGGATGGTACAGGGTGACAGAGGATTTTCTGGATGGACAATGTAAGTTGACCTCAAAAACTATTTAGGACATTTCAAGAATACTTCCCCCAAGGAAAATGAGCTGTCGTCAAAACGAGACGTGAGTATGTTTTGTACTGGACTGAAGTTGTTTCGTATATGACTTCGCGGTTTTGATTCTTCAAGCGGATGATGCAGTTGTTTTGTTTGTAAAACTCTGTGGAGGACCCAAATCCTTTGTTCACAATTTCTTTTAAATTCTCAGAGTATGATATAAGTGTTGAATTGATACAGTCCTCCATTGGCATCCTTCAATGGAGTCGTGGTTCAGTGATTCTTTAAAAAAGTGGAGAAACTGGTGATCGGCTTAGCGCTTTTATTTGAATGTTTTGCTATGCACACCTACTTTCTTGACGTGAAAAAATCATATTAGTTCTTTTTGGGTGGCCAACACAAGATTATGCTTAGTCCGGTATAGACGTCAGACTACAACTTATCTCACATGATCTGAACAGAAATTTTTGTTTATTCGTTCAATACCGTAACAACCAAACATGATAAATCGGGCGTGACAATCTACTGCAATTAAAACAAAATATAATAAATGAGGTCGGTGGCGGATCCGGTATTATCTGGCTGGGGCACAAGTTTGAACTTAATTTTTGGGTGTGACGTTTTGGTTACAAAACTGTTACATGACTGATTAGCAACAACAACAACAAAATCAGTTGGGATAATCTGAGCATGAATATTCTTTCCTCCCCTCCTCGGTGCCCATTTGGATCTGCCACTGGGAGCATGCATACTATTTGTACTACTTTTGTCATCAATTTCATCGTTTCGTCACCATGGTTTGGATCAATAATATCGTGTGTACCATCTGATAACATGCATTCCTTATAATGATGTTTTCATGGCTAATTTTTCACTAATATGCATCAGACAACACATACAGATGACCAGTGTCATAAATAAAACATTTAAAAAACACTTTTCATATTCACGTTTTCTTCGTTGAGTAGAGATAATCATGCAATATTATTATCCTACATAGAGTGATTTAAGGTAATCCATAACTTTTCATTAACTTCATTCAAGATTTATGTTATTAGGTATATATTTAGGAAAGTAGATTATTAGTATAAGTCCGAATCATCCAAACATAACACTACTCAATATCTGATAACATCTCTTAAAGGCATAGACAAGTTCTTGTCATGCGATTACATTGTGAAAGAAACGTTGTGGAATCGATCAGAAAAGGTTGATCATCTAGCATATAAGTATTGGTGTGTACTGCAAGTTTCTGGAATCATCAAAATGATAAGAAATTTGGCCCAGTCTTTGTAAAGCACTGTACACATAAAGATGTATATGGGACTACCCTTTATCTATCCAGTCCAGATATATATATATAATAAGTTGCCAAATATATCAATTGGTAGGCGGTTTCCCGGCAAAATTTGTATCATCAAGTATTAGTCAAAACATATTCTTTAACATGATTGGTAATAAGAGCTTCCATTTCATTTTTTGATAGGGGGCGTTTCCAAAACTGGTCTATACCTTTAAGATAAGAGTGGTAACAATCATTTTACTCACCAATCCATTGCAGGTACTCAGCGATACCGATGAAGTGTGTTCACTTTCCTTCAGGTGACCTTGATGATAACACCCTGTCTCAGGTTGCTCTATCCTGACCTGACCATTCTCATTGATTCGCTTCACTAGGAGACCAGCGTTGAATAGATCCATAGTCTGTTTGAGTTGGATGTGGAACACGTGATCGAATCCCTCGACGGAGTATTCTGATGTGGAGGCTACTGACCTTTCTTCCACTGACCTCTGGTGTCTGGTGCCTAACCGCACAGGCTTCACATATTCATAATCTGTTCAATCAAACAAAGCAAGTTTTACAGTTACAACGCTTTGTTTTTCAAACAGGCAAAATTTTGCCGGGAAGTTTTATCATCCAAAATATTGTTTTGAATCATTATTGGTTTGATTTTCTAAATTGTAAGGCTCTGCAAAGAAATGTTCGATAATAGATCTACATCATCAGTAGATTGTGGATAGCCATGACGTCATGATGGAGTGATGCTGAAGTATCATCTATTACCGCTGTATTTCCGTAGAATGACCTTTTAAATGTATTAATCCCAATGTCGTAAGATGTGGAAACGTATTATAGCACACCGTTTACTGTTACCAAATCACATATTTTACCCTTGATAAGAACAAGTATGTATTCATCGAACTGTTAAACAAAATAATGTAAGAAAAATACCAGATACATTAATTACGTGATATTGCCTATTTCAAAGAAGTATACCACACTTTCCTTTTCTTACCACAACACCGTTCCCCTCCACGCCTTATATAGACACTGTTTTGCCCTTTAGCCTTCCATTCCCATGTTTTTCCTTTTCTGTCCCCAGTCTCTCTCTCTCTCTCCCTTTCTCCTCCTTTTAGTCTTTTTTCTTTCTTTCTCTCTATATCTTTCTTTCTCCTCATCATACCATTCTCTTTCTCTCTCTTTCTATCTCTCTCTCTCTCTCATGCATAGGCCTACACGTACGAAACAAATATTTTGATAGATATCAACATACCGAAATTCATTAATGCTCATGGTTCTCGTGTTGTAAGAAACATTACAAAGAAGTAAATGAAACCGAACCACTAAATAAAGGGCGTGGTTACTCCCCAAGCCCATTAATCTGTTGAATAGGGAAAGAGTCAAGAATAGAGCATGCCGTTAAGATGTTTAGTACGTCGTATCCATTACAAAAGGATTAAATTATTGACGGTCGAGTAATCGTCGGCTCTGTGATGGGAGGATTATTACTCGCCGGTAAATAGAAGCATTACACAGATACAGCGTCTTGAGTAGTAACGTTAAAATATTAGTCCCGAATGCCAGAACTGTAACGGGTATCAATTTAATAAGAGATAAAAATGATAGTTATTGTTTAAATATTTAACTATCAATTATTACTATTCAACTCACCTGGCAAATGTGTATAGTGAAGTACATCTGTTCGAGATAATTTGAATTCCTCCTGAAACAGAATGGAAAAAAATATAACATGAAAACTTGAAGTCAGATATAATTATTATGAGATTATTACAAAGAACTCTGTAGAACTGTATGGAAGCTTAACTTAAAATAAAACTTCTTATTCATCACATGTGACTGATATAATTCACAAAGATACATATTAGTTTCATGATCTTATTAAATGATAATGCACTCTCCAGTATAAATGATTTCATCTGGGGGCTTCACTAGGCACCCCTCCCCCCCCCCCTTTCGTTCTTCATATTCTATTTTTCTTCCTCTTTATCCCATAAATGGATGTCATTCTAAATAACGTTTTAATCGTAATATACATATCACAATTAGACATTGCGTTCGATGAATGCAAACAATCATAATATATGGATATTGAGTGACGTTTTATTTTGTATGATATAATCAGAGGCGGAACTTAGGGGAAGATAAATTGAATGTACCCCCCCCCCCCCCTTATCAGCAAAATAATTCATTTTGGATTAAGCTGGTGGTGAGGCTACCAATATATATTATTCAGCTAGTCCATACTCACATCATATAACGAATTAAATCATGGAAGTTGCCCCCCCCCCCCTCCTACGAAACATCATGACTGTTATACTAATGTGATTCATCGATTTCTCGGAAGAAATGTCATTCTTGTGCATCACGTAATACAGGGAAAATAAAGAATGATAAGCTAGATATCGTGCAATCGGGAAAAAATAATGAAATAACGAATGTCCGTTCGACCATTTAACCTTTTTATTTATTTGATATCCATAAGAATGCGAAGTAATCTTTATCTCTCTCATGATTTAGCTGACCACGGTGATTTATGAAAGGTACACATTCATCGATGAAATGTATATTGAGCCAGACATGATTAAAAAACGTCACAATCTCTCCATTCTTTGGTTTGCATTGTAATGTCTCTGGAATGTGGACAGAATGTTCCGATTTTCCCGCCCTTCAAAGAAATGCTCTCCATTTGCTGTATGAGTTTTACTTTTTTTTCCCAGAGATAAATTTCCTCGTCAGGGTTGATAAACACGTGAAAACTAATGTGAGTTTGGTATTATAATGATAACGGATGTTACGATACTTAATGCAGTTGTCTTTCTATTCATAACGTCACACAATATTGCTAACCTATCCTATATAATTATTCATTTAATTTCATCTTTACTGTCGGATTTAACAATGGTCTAAATTTTGAATAAAAAATGTAGCATGCCTTTCATTTTGTATTTGTCCAACGAATTTTTACGTTTATGTAACGAATATGTTATTAAAATAACTTTAAGATACTGTAGAGAAAGACTTTATTTAGCTTATAACATTACAAAAATGGACGTTTCATCGATTTAAAATCACATTATTGACAAATGGTGATATTCTGTAATGTGTCTGGTGTATACACAGTATTTTTTTAAAGACCTCAAACGATTCTACTATGTTCGTAACCATATTTGCGATAGCAATGCATCGTGTAACTCCGATTCCATGCATGCTCACTGCGCTCAAAGAACCATTGTCGGTGAATGTCCGAACTATTGACCATACCCTGCATGTACTTTCTAAAATGGCGCCTATTGGTCCCGGTATTGGTCATACTCCGGATAATGATACAATCATTCAATATAGGATTACTGATTGATAGGCAGATTTCTTCTCAGACGATAGGACTTCAATACAACTAGTCTTATCAAAGCATTCAATTCTAAAATCTTTTCTCAGAACAAAAGGGAGATTCTTCAAACGCCCTCCATTCTACAATTTGATGTCGATCTAAAACATACTTAATTTCGCAGTAGACAGTGACGCTAATGCTTCCATTCCAGTTCATTATGAATGGATGGATCAGCTATTGTCAGAAGGGTCGGGGCCGGAATTTGTCCCGTGAACAATATTTCGGGATTGTCCCTTCCTGACATACTTCCGGACGTGTCGTTAAAAAAAGTGTATTACCCGTTGGAATATGATTCCATGGTATGATGGAAATAGAAATATCGTTTTTGTCTTGTTTATCACCATTCATTTTGTTCTCATTCTTGTTTTTAGTCAAAGTTTAGACGAGACATCAGTATAGAAGTTGCTTTCATGTTAGTAATTTTAGAGGCAATAAAGTCATAGCCCCGAAAAGTTGATAAATAGTAAAAAGATGGGTCATTCCAGTAAAACGACATCCCATTAGACCGACAAAAACAAATAAATACATTAAGGGAAAACAGAAAAGTTGTTATCGGAAGCCTTCCGCCTATTGGTCATACGGTCAACGAGATTGACGTTGTTGGCTCACGGTTGGAATGAAATTATATAACAAAGAGAATAATATGCAAACATTATATAACACAAGTCACTATAAACGAGAAGGAATTTAAATAGATTTAAACAAACAGTATACTAAATCCGTCAAAGTATTGTGAAAACTTAAAGAGGGTAACTAAAGAATATTGATAGTTTGTTCATTACGTAATAAGTGAAAGGATGAGTAAACCCACAAATACGGAGGCATCGGTCAACAAATAGATCCTCTAGTTAAAACTTCAGTAATCAATGCAATGTTTACTTCTTAGCACGGATATAGATGTTCTACAGTGTATCCATGCTAGATTAGTGACAACTTGGTGATATCTTTAAAGCTAACATCCAAGTGATTATGCAGCGTCACAGAGCACAACTATCGCCAAATTATGTTGTAAACAGTATTCCCATTTTTCTGGCCTAAAGAGTGAAGGGGAAATCATCAACGAAATGCAATATATCCATAGACCTTATCAAATTACTTCTGTGAAACTGCGAAATTATGCGGATTTATAACATTTTTTTTTTGAAGTACGGAGCTCTCCAGAGGAGCATTCTTGCACCCCGCCCAACTGGTTTAACCGTCGTTCCTGGTTGCCCATCTAATGATTTCAACCGTTTACCAGAGGGCGAATAATGAAGAAAAGTTCGTTACATAATTTGCGATGATATATGATTCCGAATATTTATTTTATATATTGTTTCTCACTGAAGTTTTAAAGACCAGTACCAACAAGACGTTGTCCCGAATAGTTATTGTTGTATTCAGAGGAAGATTTAAGCCTAATTAATGCCCGGAAATCGTTTCGTCTTTGCCATACGCTGACAACAACTTTTCTGACTAAATAAATGACCTTTTGGTTGCTTTCATCATGCATTCATGCTCCCAGTGTTGAATTATCTAGTTGCCCTTCCAAGATAATTAGTGACAAAACCAAAGCTGACATAAGTGTTCAGTTAGGTAGAGGCCAACGAAAAGTTGTATAAGACCCCATTTTCTTCGCAGGCACGATCATGATCTTTGCATACTTCTTGCCAAAAGGTTGTAGGTCCATGATTGTTGCGGATTCCAAAAGAATAGAAAATGGTGCCATAAGCAATCGGACCAAGGCTTACAAAATCAAATCCCTTTGCTGCGGATAAAGCACAGAAAGTATTTCACTTCAGTGGTTTTGAAAGCGGCGTCCTCTAAAGTGACCACAACTGGCTCATTCATTAAACGAGGCAGGGGAGAAAGTAGGGCTATGTTAAAGTGGAAACGCCCATCGGAGAAACGTTAACACTCACATACCATGTGATCATAATGATACCATAATAAGCATCAATGGAATGTGGTACAGATCTGAATAATTGTATTATTGTTCTTGTGTAACTTTTATGAGATAAATTACTCAGTATCATAACATTCTCAACGTAATTATCATAAACATTAGATACATTTTTGTTTCATTGTCAGTGAGAACATTCTTGTGGAATATTTAACTACTTTATATCAAATTGGAGGTTTATCAATTTAATATGCATGTTCATGAACTGTCGGTATTGATGTGTATGACTTACAATATTAGCAGAAATAAACTATCATAAATGAAAAACTATACTCTGTAAAGATCTTTTCATAATTTGAAAATATTTTTAGAGTCTTTAATTCCCACTAAGAATATAATGCCAACGAGAACATAAAAAGAAAAACTTCCAGGAATGTTTCTTTTGAAGCACATTAATCACATCTGTTCAGAATATTTTGAAATATTCACGTCTGTCCATGTTTAGATTATCTACCTATCTGACCTTCAGAACTACCCCTCAGTAGTGAATTAACAATCAATAACATGTTCCGCGATGATGCTTGTATTGATTCAGCTAACATGCATTCAAAACTTTCCGACACAGTGAGTGAGAGGAAGTATAATGAATGTTCATGTTAGATCAATTGCTAATCACAAATATAAAATCGAAATGACGTCGTTTTACCTGAAAGAAGATTACGTGTAATGCAACAATATTGCCTTCGTCAGGTTATTTCTTAAATGTAATTTGTATCGCTTGGAAACTTAATTTGCTAAATAAAAAAAAACATGACGAGGTAACAATATTTGGTCGATTCGATAATCAAGTTTCAGTCCTGAAAGTTTTACAAATTCGAGATGGTTAATAATAGTCAATTTTATTGTCGTAACCATTACGTAAACATTACGGCTGTGATGTGACAAATTCTACATAAAATTATTAATGCTACTGCATTAAAAGGAACGACTAAGAAATCATTCTAAAAACGATTTCTGTTTTAGAAAATAAAAGTTTTATCAACGGCGGGAAGGTAAACAAGGGTAGAACTAACTTTTATAACTTTCCATTTCATGAGAAACCTCGTCAAAATACAGTCCCAGCTCGCCGAATACGCATGGGTGTGGTCAAATAGGGTTAACTTCATTCACACATGGCCTGGGCGTTACCACCACCAACTGTCCGACAAGCCAATCACATAATAATGCAATCATAAAATTTGATTTGAAAACAACAATTTCAAACTTACCGGTTGGAAAGGTTTGGCAAAAGTAATTGGAATGAACACTGCTGTAAGGATGAAACAGACGAATGGCGCCGTATTCCACGTTGACCTACAGCGAGGCGCCATTTTGCTTGGTATAATTTTGACGATGGCTAGCGTCAGATAGAGAGGTAGAGTCCTCTGGTGATGCGACCTGGAGAGAAAATGCTAGTGGCCTCACTCGACCAATCTTCCACACGCCGAAACCTCCCACGTACAATTCCCGCTTCACTCGCTCCGAAAAGAACTTTTATTATTGTCCGGTGATGAAAGCGCCACGGAGAATCTTACACAAGCTGGCACCAACTCGTCCACATCGCCTTCACGATAAACTAGCGAAAGACCGTCAACCACGAATCTCTTTCTTAACTCGGGCAAAGATGGGCTTGGCTATTCAAAGTGGTACCTATTTGCACCCATATCAGAAAGCTATTCAAGTATGTATAGAATCGCCATATACACTTCGGTATCATAAAGGATACACAAACTCTCGTTGATTCTTTCTTCTTGGGCATTGAAATGAAGATACTATTGATGATTACGTAATAGGGAATGCATCTTCTTTGTAGTGATCCGCTCAGCATGACAATAGTATAGATATATGAATGAAAGGATACGGCTGGTGACTTTGAAGATTCCATCCTTTCATCAACGCCCTATCTCAAATCTCTGAAATAATCACCTCTTTAAAAATAATATGTAACGGTTTTTTTTCTCTCTGTGTGTCTTTCTCTCTCTCCTCGATCCCTATCTCTCTCCCAACCGCCACATTTAGGCTTATTAAGCCTACAGTTTTTAAAGATCAAATCATGATTCCTATCACCATTACTATTGTAATACTGTTTGGGCAAATACCTACAACTCAAAATTGAACTCTCTTTTTTTGTTACAAAAGAAAGTGGTTAGAATTTGCTCTCTAACTTCTTATCGTGCCCATACTATACTATTATTTATGAATCTCAAGATTCTTTATGTGTATCAATTAAATAAATATTGCATCTCAATTTTATCATTTAAACACAATCAAGGTTTTTTCCCAGTTCACTTAACAATGTGCTTTCCCTCAATAATGCAGTTCATATTATAATACGAGGAATAGAAATAAATATCATAATTTACATGGGTCGTTAAAAAATCTTATTTATTATTTTCTTTCAGACATAAAGTACCAACAATATGGAATACTTTGCCAAATAACATAACATCTATGATGAATTACAATGGATTTAAAAGAAGTGTAAAGCAGCATCTAATCACATGTGATTTTGAGTAGAATACTTTTCCACTTTTTTGTATATATATGTGTGTATGTGTGTATGGTTTTTTGTTTGTTTCTGTTGTTATACCATGCAATTTTCTCTGGGGGAAAATAAGTTTATTATGTTCATCACAGTTTGTTTAATTATTTTTGGGGAAGATATCTCGACAAACCCATTTATTTGGGTTTCTATAACTTCCCCTTTTCCATTATTGTTTAATATTTTAATGTACTCTTATGTATATTCTAGTGAAATATTTTGCATGTTATTTACAGTACCTTTTGCAATATGTATGTGTTCTTGTAATGTGATTTTTATGGAAATTAATAAACTTAATTAAATTGAGAAATAGAAAAGTTGAATTCATGTGATTATAGCTTTCGTGTAAATTCGATTGTTTTGTTTCCTTTCTGATGGGAAGTAAGTGCAATTTAGCAGTAAATTAAAATGATCCGAAAGTTAACAACCGACACATTATAGATAAGAGAACCCCGCTGATATATAAGTATATGATTATGTAACCTTTTCTAAGGAATAAGGAGTTTCCTGGTTATTTGGCATAACAAACTGTTGGTTTAACAGAATTCTTTCAACCTATCTGCGCATGGTTGCATCAGTATTGTTCGGTAGGACAGGCAAAAGAACATTTAGACTAATGCTTTTTCTTTTTTGTCAATTTCCATCGGATCTACAAAATTAAGTCTTTTTTCTAGTCCGAAGGATAAGAGAAGTTATCCGGATTATACATTACGAAATTGTGATGTAGTTTTCGGTCGCTCTCCTAGGGCCTATATATGTGATTTGTTAAGGGGAGGCTTGAGGGCTAGTATTCTCGAGAAGAAAAAAAGCCGATATTTGGGCATCAATCATGTCATGTTCGAGAAGCAACGTGATCTCTTTGTAATTAAACACAACAAAACGTTTTGTAGTGTATTTCAGTAAAAGAAATATATTAAAATCTAAATGACTCAAATGGATACCACACCCACATTAACATTTGATATCACTATATATTGAGGCATCATTTGTATAGCTCGTTTCATTCACTCGCGACATTAAGAAATAAAATGGGAATGTTAATATTCGGGGAAAAGTCGTCAGCCCCCCCCCCCCCCCCATTTTCTGTATGCCACATGCCTGCACCTTTAAGCTTGATTATAATCAATTATGATTAACAGTTATTTTAATCGTATAAATCTTATCATTCTTATCATAAGATCAGTATCCCTCTTATTGTACACTTCAGCTGTAATATACTGGCAAATTGTCAGGACTCACAAGGCATTAATTAGCTTCACTTATCTTGGTACCCTGGCCAGTTCCGTTAAAAATAAATGTATATTTCTCCTTGCATGTTTTAATGTATACTGAATATATTTTGTATTCAGAAATGAAAAAAACAAACATATATATATATATATACTGGCAAAGTTGTAGCTTTGTTGTACTAGTTTAACGGTCTCTTCCTTGTGGGATTTCGATTTAGCCTGACAAAGTGATGATATGCTACTTGAGAAGAAAACTAAGCCAAGTTTTTGGGAGTACTTATAGATGAAACTTGAATGATCATTTACACCACGTTACAATGTGCATTTCCAAAAGTATTGGAATAATCTCCAAGCTAAAGTTTCTTCTACCCCATGTAACCTTATTCCTACTATATAATACGCTAGTTCTCCCGTATATAACATATTGTAATAGTGTATGGGCAAATTGTGGTTCGACAACAATTAATTCTATTTTTAAACTGCAAAAGAAAGCTATACGTATTTGTACAGGTTCGCATTTCTTAGCTCACACTGATCCTTTATTCTCTTTAAATTAGTATAATAAACCGTGACTTATTTTATTCTTTATCATGCAACTGCTTTCTGCACCTGCACTTGCACTGCACCCACTTGATCACTCAGTTTTTCCCAAGAGAGTTATATCGCCATTTTTTTTTGAGGCTGCCATCCATCTCCAGCCTAACCGCTCACGATGGTGGTCTCCTGCGTTCTAAATTACCTCTCTAATTTATTGGAAAATATTTACTATATACTTCTCATCTTATTTGTATGCTTCGTACATGTTCATTGTATGATAACATTGTAGATGATTTTCTATTTAATAACTTTTATAAACATTTTATTCATTGTATTTGTTATTGTTCGAAGTTTTGTACTTTGAATTTGAATTTGTATCTTTTTTAACGCAGAAAATAAAATCAATCAAAAGAAGAAAAAAAAAAAAAACAGAAAGTGATCTCTCGACTATCATGTGATTTGATTTGCTTCTAATCCATTGCTAGCATTGTGTTGAATAACAAGTTATGAGAAAAAAATACAATTCCGGTATTTTATAACAAGTAGCTTAAAGGGATAGTTGAGTTCTGTTTTCACACCGCAAATGCCTTCAAACTTCAAAGTGCATGGTTATTGCTCTTATTTCTATCTATGACATTTCTAGTGCCCTTTTAGGACCTAAAATTGCTATGAAGATAATTTAGACCCCAAAATGTGTGAAATTTAGCCAATACGACCATACCAATTCAGCCCCACTTTAAAAAAAATATGGTAACCGTAAATTCATCAATTAATTAAAAATTATAGTACATGGGCCGGCTGGTTGTACGTAATATAACCAACATACGAAAAAGCCAACAAAAAAGCCAACATCGGCATTGGCTGAAATACGACGTAAAAGGCGCTATTTATTTTTTTCAACGTTTTTTTTTCGAATTATCGAATATTTGTGGTGGTACACAAATATTAGAAATCGTTATAATTACCGTTATTTCAGCCATCTTTGAACCGATTTTGATCAAAGATGATTTTGTCATTTTAATTGTATGTTCTTTCAAATTTGGCACTCAGTTTTTCATTATCTCACAAAAAAAAAATTTTGTGTAGCGCCCTCTGCAACAGAACTCAACTATCCCTTTAATTGGCCTTGGGCATGTGGCCGAGTCAGAGGATGTGTAAGGCTGCTGTTTGGTTAGAGATAACAAGAGACAGAAGAAGACACAAATAATAGAGACAAACACAGAATTGTATCAGCATGGCCCGTGGTATTAGAGGGGAGGCAGAGGATCGAGGAGCGGGAGAGGGGTAGAGGGAGAGGGGTAGAGGGACAGAGAGAGAGAGAGAGAGAGAGAGAGAGATGTATATATAAAGAGAGGGAAAGAGAGAGAAGAGGAAGGGAAAAGAGAGTGAGGGAATGTATGTGTGTGTGTGTGTGTGTGTGAGAGAGAGAGAGAGAGAGAGAGAGAGAGACAAAGAGGGATGAAATCTATTACACAGCATTCTTGTATGTATTAAAATCTGGACACACTCTCCCGTCAACTATTTAAAGGGCATTATAAGTAAATTAGGTTAATACGCAATTTATGTTACTTTTCCAAAGAGTTATAAACACTAAAAATGGAAAGAAATGAATATCAATGGAATTGTTTTTTATAATTACAATGAGGGGTAGTTACAATCACTTTCGTGCACTTGTAAACTCATTTCACTAAAAACTGAAGAGCCTTGTTATCGACACGGCCGCTTTCCGTTGTTTCCAAGCCATCAATGTAGGACAGATGCAATATTTTAACTCATTTTTTACTTGAAACATTGATGTATTGTTAAAATATCTATGGTAACCTGAACCTTGTTAGCCATGAATATATTCACTGTTCAAAAACGTGCTCAGATTTATTTCTGAATGAATAAACTGCTTGTGAGATTCTTTAGAAAGTAACCATCAATAGTCTGAGGTGGAAGAAGGTATGCAAAGAATGGACTCCACATTCCAACTATTCTTTCTATTGTTATTGTCCGGTGTATTTATGTACTATTGCAGTGAATGGGTATGGGATCAACTCGTACCACAATGATTATCAACATTCCCCCTCGATGGTATAAAGATTGGTCTTTAAAAGGACAGAGGTATACAAGTGAGAGGGATAGAAAATAGAGAGTATGTAAAAGAGATAGATAGATAAATAAAGACAGAAATAAAGAGAGAGAGAGAGAGAAATAGTAGATATAGAGATTAGACATAAAGGAGCAGGAAATAAAGAGAAGAGAGTGTAATGAGTGTATGGGTGTGTGTGTGGGGGGGGGGGGGTCTGGGTAGAGAAGAATATATAAAGAGAGAGAGAGAGAGAGAGAAAGAGCAAAAATGTATGTGTGTAAGTGTGTTTGTGTGTGTCTGTGTGTGTGTAAGTCATAAGGTAGAGATAAACTTTGAGAACAGATAAGGGAAATAATAAATAAGAGTGTATGAGGGTAGGTGTAAGGGGGTCTGGGTATGTATGACAGATAAATAAGAACCATAGAGGAAGAGAGAGAGAGAGAGAGAGAGAGAGAGAGAGAGAGAGAGAGAGAGAGAAGGTGGTACAGGCAAAAGGAAGACAGAATGAGATGAAAGGAGAGGTGAATTAGTGACATAGAAGTTAATGTAATTGAAATAAAAGGCAAAGATTTAAAACAATCAAGTTACTAAAAGTAGCACACATTTAATGAAATATAAAAATGAAAAAAGTTTCCAGCATGATTATGAAAACCTTCAAATATTTCTATCACATTGTATTGATAAATTGTAGATCATAATAAAATCCATATTTGTAATTACACAGTGAATCTTTAAAACGCTAAACAGAGTTGAACGGATGATCAAGTTGTAAAATTGAGAAGTTTCCACACTGAGTTTCAATAGAGCTACAGGTACATAGAACTGTAGCAAAATCACACGATGGCCAAAGACTTTTATTTCAAATCTACATGCTCATATAAATTGCAAACCTCAGTGGAAAGACATGCTTATCATAGTCAATATCAATGGTGACCAAATAAAAAAACTTTATTAAACAACTCGGATGTCTTGGAAACAAACCAACTGCAACTATTTCACTTTGATTAAATATAAACACCACTACACTGAACAAACCTTTTGAGATATGATAAAAATGATAACAGCTCTGCTGCAAGACCTCCCAACAAATTCCAGCAGATGTTTTTTCAGCCAGTGCTGAATCAGATTCATTCATTTGCAGCTGGCATTGTAAAATAATTTAGGGTTAAAATTACATGACAAAGCAAACTTCTTCAAAGACAACACTGTAAATGATGTAAGAGAATGACACTTAATGGCAAGTATAAAGCATATTATGTATGTGTAGAAAGTAATCCCACCTACTGTAACCTACATTCTTCCGATTCATTCAGAGCTAAATATGAAACAGGGATTTGGTTTTAGCATCTTCTTCTTCTTCTTCTTCTTCTTCTTCTTCTTCTGATTAAGTCTGCCTCCTTCAATTGACTGAAGATTCTTGCAAACTATGTGCGTTTGTGTGTGACCGCATACACAAAGGCTCCTATCTTTGGATAAAAGTTCTTAATTGGTTTGATTTAAAGAACTATTTACAGGGGAAAGGTACTGTAGGCCAGGACAAAGCAATCACTGACCATCTTTCAGGATTTATGCATTTGTGACAACTTTAATCAAAGGCATCAAGAACATAGTTGACATAGATGTCCAATATCATCTATAGCATTTTAAACATGTTTTACCAAAATTTATTGAAGAATTAATGATGAACATATGCTGTAGGTCCAGCATTAAGAGACCTAAAAAGTGATGAGAGCAACTTACTTGAGACATGAAGAGTCTTTTCGTCTGCTCACACAGGTGAAAGTTGACTCAAGTTAGGGTTATTTAACGCTTCTTGCTAAGCTCTCTCGATATTCTTAAAGATGTTTCCACAAGGGCAACATACAAAATCTAGTACACATTTGGATTCTCTATTACTTCACTTGGTAATACAAAAAACAAAATTAAATGTGTAAAAAATATATAAACACTAGTTCTTGAAAAAGCTGATATTGAGTCACAAGGAAGATCACAACAAGAATTAACACAAGGCACAGAGTACACAACATCTTTACTTCTTCTAAATGTACATGTAAAAGGATGCTGAATAAACATCTTCATGTTTTACAAAAGCCATATTTCTATCATAAGTTGTTTTTATACATGCACCAATGAGAGCGTTAATAAGAATTATCCACATAGGATACCATAGGAACAGACTGATGGGCCCGAATTCACAAAGGAGGTTTGTCGACAAACCTCCTTTGTGAATTCGGGCCATGGTGTTTAAACCATTTAAATGATTTCATAGGTAGTACATACTTACACTATTATATGAACATAAAACACATACTTTTTCATTTGATAAATCACCCTCATCCCAAATTCAACAGATTTAGAGTCAACTAAAATACTGTAGTTAATCTCGTAAAAACTTATGGGCTGGTAATTAACATTTCCTAACGACAAGTCATTAAAAAGTACTAATAATTTCACAAAAAGAACAATGAGCGGGGGGTGGGGGGGGGGGGGTAAATAGATTTCATTGTCATGTGTCTCCTTTCTAACAATCATTTGATTTGGATCTACAGTGTATATTCAACATAAAAGTACAGGAAGATTTTCCACCTGCCATTTTGAAAATCATAAACGATACATTCCAATGATGAATGGTATGTTGCATGTTTTTTTTTTTTGCGATTAAAACATATTCAATGGAGAAAAAAATTGTTTGCCTAAATGAGTGCTTTCTAAAGTTTATTAATTGGTATAAATTACATTAAAAAATTTCACACAAGCAATGAATTTTAATAAGCAATAATATAAAAAGCAGGAAAGATAATGTATGCATAGTAAATCTACAAATCACTAAGTAAATAATGCACTACATCAGAAATCAAAGTTACACTATGCTACAAATTTTATATTACAACAAAAAATGTACAGCTATTAGCCTGCTTTGTGTAAATGTACAGTCAAATTCTAAATGCCTCCCTCTGTTGACAATTGGGTGATATTTCAACACATACATGTATATCATTTTTTTCTAAAGGATTGTTACAGCTCTACCTCTATCAAGGATCACATAATCTAAAGAAATATATACAGGTTGCATCTAAAAGCATACAAAAATGTTAAAAGTAGGGCAGACACAGGATACAGACGGGCAGGTGTTGTAGAATGGTGTGGTAGACTTTGACCAACAATTCATATATTTCAATAACATAGATTAAACCATAAAAAAATCTTCTCACTTTCTCAGCATATTGTAAAACTAAGCTCTATCTAGAAATACTAACAATGAGTTATCTGATGAGATGTATACCATTATGGGTATTAAAGTTGTTTGCATTTTGCAGAAGATGAGATGCATAGTAAAGATAGCACACACTTGGTTTACATTACAGTACTGCACGATATCAAGATATGAAACAACTACTTGTGATGTACATCTAGAAGAAACTCTATGAAAGGTCATACATGTAAAATGTACAGAAAGAAAGTTTCATAGCTCCAAAGCTTTCAACTTTATAAATAACTTCTGGGCATGAAATTGCATGATGTTGAAAATGAACTATCAGAGGCCACTAATATCTTGACTTTGTTTTATTAAATACAAGTAGTATAGTCAGAAATATTATACAAATTCTTTACTTTCTTCAAGTTTCCTACGTTGATTATAATTTAGGAGTCTTTGTTATGGTATGGAAGCATCTGATCTGATGATGACATCAATTAATCTATGGCTCTAGCAAACTAATTAAAACAATATCATGGATGTTACGAGTTTAAATACTATCTGGTGGTATGTCAAAATACTGGATCAAAAACAAAAGGTGGATTAGATACATGTAGGTGGGGAACTCCTTGATATAAAATACTAAAGAACGGTCAAATGGATATCAGTCATATACATTCGACTTCAACTTTCTTTTAAAGGTATCAAATATAAACATGAAATTGAGAAAGTCTGAATAGAGGGAACAATAATGCATATTATTATCTATATAAGGATTTCAAGTGGTACAATAAGTCAGTGTATTTAATATCCTTAGCGAAGAACCCAGATGACTGATCAATATTGTTTTCGTTTTGCTCAGTCATCCAGGAACTTCAACTATCGATATCAATATCACACAAAAACAAAGTCATATTTACAGAGGTAAGTTTAATTTTGTTATTTAGCTTGTCAGCCTGATATAGATAATGATAATAATATTGTATGGCTTTGTTTTCGTGTGATACAAGAATATATTGCTCTCACTATGACAATATTGGACTCATCTTCGGCTCGTCCAATAATGTCATAGCTTGAGCAATATATTCTTGTATCACACTCAAAACCATCCAATATGATATAAATAACTCATTTTAATTTTGATTTAACTTTGCAGTGTTACTAGCGTATAACAATGCTCAAACTTTTTATCAAATGTTCCCTTAACAAATAATTGCATCCAGGTTAAACAGTATTTCACTTCCATGATGGATACACAAAATCAGGCATATATTTTGGGGATATTGGTGCTCTTTGTATTCAAGAAAACATGGTTTAACTTAAAACATTAGCACACAATTAATCCATTTCACTGCAATATTGTCCGGTTATTGGTAGTTAGTCCCTTCAAGTTAAGGACCTGTAAGACACGCTTCAATTTTGCCAGTGAGCGGAAAACTAAATCCTTTTATGGTCTGTGTTTTTGTCAATTCAGTATGGTTGAGATATACTTGGAGATTTAAATCCAATTTGATACCAAGTTTCAGCAATCAGTGTTGATAAGACAAATTGACATGACATACAACATTTTTTACTACTCAAAATCCAAATCATACAAATCTAACATGACAATAAGAATGCCTAATATTAAAACATGCATGTGGTATCTGACATTGGCATCGCATGGTATTACAAAACTTGAGATAAAGTATCACCACGTGTACATTATAAATACATTGACATTGAGGGCGCTGGTCATCGCTGTCATAACTCCTCACGACCAGAATGTGTTTGTCCAGCACCATCCATCCCACCTTGAGCTGACTTAGGAGTGATTTGATTAAATTCATTTGGTGTATCCTTGCGGCTTTCTGAATGCTTCACGCCCTCGCTTGGCGGCACCTGCTCGTTTGGAGCGTTGCCCCCGTCGGTGGAGGTTTCATTGGTTTGGGCCACACCCGGTTTACCGTTCCTTGCCTTCTCAAGCTCCTCCCAGATGCTTGATGTCTCGGTGTCACTGAAGTACTTCTTCTCACCGGTGTAATGGGTAGGTGACACCATCAGAGGATCTACTGAGAATGCTCTCATGTTTCGAGGGCGAAACTGAGCTAACCATTCATCCCTGCAAATCAGATAAAACAAACACTAGATCTCTTACAAGAAATTGTAACTTTCTTTGCAGCAAATCAAAGCTGAAAGTGAGAGTCATGTCTGCAGCAAGATATCTTTCATTATCTTTCTTCTTAATGTTCCAATACCCTTGGTACACTGTAATTATTAAGTTAATAAATTCACATTTACCAAATCACTGCTGAACAGAATCAAACTAGTTTTGCTTACCATATTCAATTAAAAAAGAAAGTATAGAGTCTATTTTTATTTCTTCATAAAAAAGAATATAATAACGAGTGTCCTTTTGGCAGAACGGTTTGTTTGGGGAGTTTGGGAGAAAATTCCATGAAAACCTTATCACCATATGTCTTTGTTCTGCCTCTCTTAGCTGCGAAAAGATTTTGAGATGCAGAATGCAAAGACCTTGGTGGAACATATTGTAAGACAAGATCAGAAAGATATTCTGGAGACAAAATGTTTAAAATAAGCTGGAAGTCTGTGAACTTGTGCCATTATGAGTCATCTAGTTTAGATGGGTCAATGCAAGGTAAAATGTTTTAGAATATCAGCAAGTTTTATCCCAGCTTATTGAAGTCAATGCTTTCATGGATTTGACAATCTTAAAACACAGGAAAATATACCAGGACAGGAGCTAATCTCCTTGACTCCTGTACTGTCCTTCTCTGAGCTGAATGCAACCTAGAAATGTACTGCTCAGCAAAGAGGTGAAATACTTTAGTGAATCTCTCAAACCTTATCATTTATTGGTATGTTCGACAAATATACATTTTCTGTTGACAACCAAAACTACTTTGATTCTGCATGTACAGAGGATCTGAGTGAATGTCCATCTGGCTCACAGTAGATAACACATAAGCAGAGATGCCAATCTCTGGACACAAAAAACAGATTGAATATCTTTTAAAAAAATAAATAAATAAATAAATAAATAAAATAAATAAATAAAAAAAAATAAAAAAAATCAAATTTTCACGAAAACTCAACATTACCACGAGCCTGTTGGCTCCGGGCCAGTAAAATGTCAAAAAAATAATTTACTGGTAAGAACATGGGCAAGTAAAATATTTGCTCTTTCATTAATATTTAATGAGAAAATTATTAAGCATCAGTAATAATTCTTATAATGCAAAAAAGGGTGTTTAAATGCATAATGAGAATAATAATATAATTTAAATGCTTGCATATTTTGGGCTTATGATATTTTGGTTCAAGCCAGAAGTAGAAGTAAGAAAAAAATTACTGGACACCGCTAGACTTGCATTATACTCATGGAAATATGAGCCACATGCCTGTTAACTGACATTATAAACTAATTATTAGAAGAAAAACATGTGTCAGATATTTTTTTTTTTTGAAAGATGAAAAAATTTATTTTCAAGAGGCGATATCGTAATATTGTAGTTTATTTTTTTGATCGTACTAATAAATACAACAAAATCGTACTGGTTGGCATCTCTGCATGACTATACATGTACATTAAACCTAGTGGTTTTGGTTGGTCAAAGTACATTTACCATGAAGAAATTTACCAGAAAAAAAATCAGAACAAATTCACTTTGAAGTAATTTTAACAATGTTTCCTATAACAGGGAAGGGTAAATCTGACTGTCACCAGTAAAAAAAACCCCACTTACTCTGGATGCTTATCAAACATGATGGGTAGGTATTCATCGACCGGTACCATCTTCCCTAGCGGCTCCTGAGCTAATAACTTCTTAGCGCCCTCTAGAGTTAGCATGTAGCTCAGTGTCCAGTAGGAGTAGCTTGGTGTGACAATCTGGGTTGAATCAGACAAGAATTTCTCTCCTTTCATGTGCAGAATCTTACGTCCAACATATCTGAGAAAGAAAAATACCAAAGATTGTTTGAAAAGAGTGTAAGGTTCTGAGAAATGAACAAATTGTGACAGTGAACCTTCTATCTAAATAACAATAATTTTCATGAAAGATTTCCATACAAAATCACTTCTAGGATTGCTTGGCCTCAGAACAATCTTGAGTGTACATAATTTAAAGACCAATTCATGAGTCAAACCTGTCCACAGCGACGGCCCAAGGGAAACAAAAAACGTGGTCTTTGTAGACAGTTTTCTTTAGTACAATGTTTCAATGAGAAACCATTTTCAAGGGGAAAAAAATTGTGGTCTTTGCAGACAGGTGGTCACAAAACAATGTTTGACTGTATACAGATCTGGGCCCCGTCTTACAAAGAGTTGATATCGATCGCAACTATGTACAGGCACCATCCTGCTGGCTGCAAACTTGCGATTGATTGGAGGCTTACGATTGATTTGGATCAATCGTAACTCTTTGTAAGTCAGGGCCCAGATCAATTCTGATGTCTAACCATTAGATCAAAAGCAATGTGAAGAGTATAAAACACACTCGCAATTCATTGTGTTATGTTTCAAACAGTGTAGCTAAATTTGATAATCTGCAGTATATTAATACATAAGTGAACCAAATTCAGAGCAGGTAGGGGTGTCGTGATCAAGCAGTTTAATTCTTGACTGGAGATAAGGTCTTTTGTTTGAGCCCTGGTGTAGCACTACTGTCCATTGGCAAGACAGTAATCTAGATATGCAACTGTTCATCAAATAGTTAAATGATGTTACCTGGTAGGAAGGATTTTGTTAAATGATGTAAGCAAGGAACTGTAAGCATACATGTACCTAGAGCCAGAGTAATATAAGAATTCCTTGCATGGTGGATATTGGCACTTTAGAAGTATCCCCTAATGTTATTATTATGTACGAGTATGCTTACATCAGATCCCATTCTAGTTTCCTAGCTGCTACCTCAGCCATGACGCTTGCCATGCGAGGTTTAAAACGAGCTCCAAATCTGATGTCATCTTCAAAAATCAGGATACGAGATAGATTCCTTTCCACAACCTGCAAGATACAAAACAGAGAATGAGAGTTTTTAATGCCAGTATCTATGCACTCATATCACAAATAGTCATGTACATGTATGTATAACTCTAGAGGACTTGCTACACTACCAAGCTATTCTTCTCAAAACCTCTTGCTGTCAATCAGACTCTATGTACCAACATAATATGAGAAATCAAACATCTTGTATGGGACCAATAAGGTACTAAGTATAAGGTAGATGTAATGGGTACATGGTATAAGGTACAAGTTAGTGTTCCTAAATCTTATCAGATGTTTGTCAAGGTATAGATATAAACCTCATTTACATGTATGCTGTGCAAAACAGCCGGGGGAAAATGTAATCTTTCTTACCCTACTATGGTGCATAAGATACAAATGTACAAGCACAAGGTAAAAACTAGTGGTCTTACTTCTTTCCATATGTTGTAATGGCTAAGGAAACATCTGAACAAACAAAAAACATATGTCAATTGAAATTTATCTTACCGTCCTATGCTGCATAAGGTACACATGTACAAAGTACAAGGTAAAAGATAGTGGTCTTACTTATTTCCATATGTTGTAATGGCTGAGGAAACATACGCACAAACAAAAACATAAGTCAATTACCATCTCTCTGACCATACTATGCTGCATAAGGTAAAAAGTACAAGGTATGATGTTGATGGTCTTACTTCTTTCCATATATTGTAATGGCTGAGGAAGCATCCAATCTCTCCCTTGGTGAGTACTCTCCCCCAGTACGGATCAGCATAACCTGGTAACATATCAATGCCCATCTCTCTCAGGATATCAGGTGATAACAACCTAGAAAGACACAAAACATGTCATCAAAACATTGAAGGTGATCAGGAAGCATTTAAGTGTGTAGAGGTGTTTTGGTCCGGTGGATAAGTCTCTGGACTCGGAATTAGGTGCTTGAATTGCTTGGGCGCTGTAATGGCAGCCGTGCTAAAGCCATGAGTCCCAGGAGTGGCATTGTTTCAGACATGAGTGCTAAACAAGACTCCACTATTATTATTATTATTTTCATTAATCTTGCACAAGATTGGCAGAATTTTCACTTTGATTTGCGAATATCAGATGATTGGGCTCACCTATAAAGTCACCTGTATATAAAAAAAAATTGAAAAGATCTATCTGGGGTTATTTAATAAGTAAGTGAGAGGATGATTTTTTTCTTCTTCTTTTCACCTCAATACTAAATGTCCACACATGATTTACCTGACAAATCTTTATATGCAAAATGAAGTCCAAACAAATAGGAGTAAATGTAATAAAAAATTTATTTGCAAGTACCGGTATCACTTTAGTATATGGACACACTTAAAGAGAACCTAAACTTTCATACCAAGTTACTTTTTATTGTAAAGTTTAAAAGATTTGAATAAAATCAGTGAAAATTTGAACAAAATCGGGCAAGGAATAAGGAAGTTAGAGCTTTTTAAAATGACTAGTCACTAGAGGGCGGTATTCAATTTGATGACATCATCTGTGAACAACTCTCCATGCCTTTTGTACATAAAATTTCACAATTTTTTCGTTTTCTTCGTATTTATTTGTGTTCTTGATCCGACTTCATAACATGTGAAGTAGAATATATCATTTTGCATTCTATATCTTGCTTTCAGGGGAGTAGATTATCTTAATCACAAGAAAAAAGGAAAAACATGAAATTTGATGTACAAAAGGCAAGGAGAGTTGTCCACAGATGATGTCATCAAATTGAATACCGCCCTCTAGTGACTAGTCATTTAAAAAAGCTCTAACTTCCTTATTACTTGCCCGATTTTGTTCAAATTTTCACTGATATTTTTCAAATATCTTAAATTTTACAATAAAAGTAACTTAGTATGAAGGTTTTGGTTCCCTTTAATATACATCTTGGACTTATGCATTGTTTGATCAATTGAAAAGGCTCTTGACACATCTGAAAACGAGTTACTTCATTAAATTATTCAACCACTTTTCCCCAAAGACACAAAGATAAAGACAATGCTGGCTCTCTTTTATGTTGAATTAATTATTCAGATTAAAACTCTGTCAAACATTCTTTTATTACAGATTTCAGACTGGAGATATTTAAAGTATTTAAAGGTTATAATCCAGTTCTGGTCATGCGATTGCATTGTGAAAGAAACGTTGGAATCGATCAGAAAAGGTTGATCATCTAGCATATAAGTATTGGTGTGTGCTGCAAGGTTCTGGAAACATCAAAATGATAAGAAATTTGGCCCAGTCTTGGTAAAGTTACAAGCACTGTAAACAGAAAGATGAATATGGGCCTTTGCAATATCTATCCAGTCCGGATAGATATAACAATTTACCAAATATATCAATTAGTAGGCTGATTCCCGGCAAAATTTGTATCATCACGTATTGATCAAAACATATTCTTTCACATGATTGGTAACAAGAGCTTCCTTTTTATGTTTTGAGAGGGGGGCGTTTCCAAAACTGGTCTATACTTTTAAACACAATCTATTAGAAGATTTAGGTTTGAACTTACTTGCCATCAACTGCTTTAATTAGCTTAAAATCAATTCTGAGAAGTTTAAGGGCTGCTTGCATCCTCAGTCTTCTGAGTGGCCTTCTCTCAAGATTGACGAGATATATCTCATCAAAACCCATCTTATTAGCTGGTTTCTCCTCTGGTAAAGTGATGAACGGTGAGGTCGACATGGGAACGTGATCGTCCACTGGGAATCAAAGAGATTTAAATAATGATATGATATTGAATGGAATACAAGGGTGTATCCCAACAGCTGATGGGTATACATCACAAGTCGGCATGACGAGTGAAATATTGTCAAAAGTGCGATGTACCCTGTGTCCCACAAAAAAAATGCTATTATTATAATCAATTGTATGAAACCTACATGTAGTATCTCAATGTTTACAATTACATCCTAATGTTTTTGTATTGACCTATACCTTAAAAATGCAGAAAAAAAAGTATTTTGTCCTTAACCTATTTTTGTATTGTAACACATATTTACCCCAAACTACGAGATATTGAAAATTAAGGTCATGAGGGTTCTTTTGCTCAAAGCACAAGAAATGCCATTTTTCTGGTTGGCTCAAAACCCTACATACCCAATCCGTTTTAACCTGTCTTTTGAAATCGATGATCTTGTTGCCACTATGAGAAACAGAGTAGAACTCCATGCATATTTGTATATATGAAGAAAATTCAAGACAAAATAAAAAGCAAATAAATTGAACTTTATTTGATTCCAATCACAGTAAAAAAGACATTATACATTGTTGTAATACATAGGCAAAGAAAAATACATTAAAATGTAGATCTATAAACATTGAAAAAGAAAAAAAGAAAAAGAAACTAGATGGAATTCGACTGCGCGCAGTCGAAAATGATGCCTCCGTCATAGAGCAATTTTACAAACCAAAACAGAAGAAATTTTTCGAATTCAAGTTCAATTGTAATCCATTGACAGGTTCTCAGAATATCGTGATTACAAGCAATTTCTCATATACATATATGACCCTTTGATCTTTGACCTCATGACCCTAAAATCTACTCAGTTCATTGGCTCTGCAAGATGTCCTGAGTTAAATAGTAATCCATCTGTCAGTTCTAATGAGAATGCGTTCACAAGCTATTTTTGAATACATAATGAGCCCATGACCTTTGACCTTTGACCTTATGAACCAAGAATCTACTCAGTTCATTGGCTCTGCAAGTAACATACATGACCTAATTTGGCAGGAATCCATCAATCGCTTCTTGAGATAACGCGGTCACGAGCTGTTTTTGCATACATAATGTGCGCTTTGGCCTTTGACCTTTGACCTCATGACCCCTAAATCTAATCAGTTCATCGGCTCTGCAAGTAACATACATGACCTAAGTTTGGCAGCAATCCATCAATCGGTTCTTGAGATAACGCGATCACGAGCTGTTTTCGCATACATAATGAGCCCTGTGACCTTTGACCTTTAACCTCGTGACCCCAAAATCTAATCAGTTCATTGGCTCTGCAAGATACATACATGACCAAAGTTTGGCAGGAATCCATCAATCGGTTCTTCAGATAACGCGATCACGAGCTGTTTTTGCATACCTAATGAGCCCTGTGACCTTTGACCTTTGACCTCGTGACCCCAAAATCTAATCAGTTCATCGGCTCTGCAAGATACATACATGACCAAAGTTTGGCAGGAATCCATCAATTGGTTCTTCAGATAACGCGATCACAAGAACGAGACGTACGTACAGACGTACGTACAGACGTACGGACGGACGGACGGACAACCCGAAAACATAATGCCTCCGGCTACTTCGTAACGGAGGCATAAAAAGAAGACATGATTAAATCTACTAAAAGTATAGGATGGAAAAAGGTGCATCTGAAAAAGCCACAGGAGCTTGATGAATGGGCGCACCCTGAGCGCATCATAATATAATTAACAATAAAAAGCTCTGTCAGCTGGAAAAGAGTAAAGGGATAAACAACCCTTTCAATATATCATTTAAGAAGATAATTTTAGCATAATTTTGGGCATACTTTTTGTTAATGATTGGTTCCACATACCAGTAGGGTAGAAACTAACAGTGTTGTAATGTGAATGTACAGTGGGGTTTAGGAGCTATAGAATTTTTTGTTTGTTTTTATTCACCTGTACATTAAAAACACAGAGAAAAAACAAAACATTTTGTCCTTGTGTATGATGGTTATTGGCATGCTGGTGGAAGGTGTAGAGTACATTAGTATAATGTTTGTATCTATCTTATGTACCCTTACAAAAAAACCTAATGGTAAATGAATGGTGTTTGAATGGTAGCGTCAATGGTAAATGGTATTTCAATGGTGTGCCAATGGTGGATTCTGTATGGTGAATGGTGTTTCAATGGTGGCGTCTGATGGTGAATGGTGTTTCAATAGTGGAGTCTGTATGGTGAATGGTGTTTCAATGGTGTTATTGCAAGGAACTGCAAGGAATAATACCCTAGTCCTCAGGAACAATGATGGATCTTTAATTTTTTCTTCAATTTGGAGTAATTTTTTATCTGATATGTGTCTCTTTACCGTGAGTAACTGCTGTTTTGTGCTCCACCCATATAACTCTGTGATGTACATTATTATACATTTGCTTTCATGAAGAGTTGAACAGCCTGTTATTGTTAATTAAAGCAGCTTATAAATCATTCTATTTTATTACAAAAATTGAAATATTACAGTATTAGGGGCACACCTTTAGAACTTTATGAAGTTATTTATCTGATCGTAAACAATTAACAATTAATAATGGAGCTGAATCCCAGTTAAAACAAAAGGTTGCGGAATTCCTCTAGGATCTATTCTCGGCCCCCTTTTGTTTTTGATTTATATTAATGACATGCCATGTTCAACCTGTAATTTGCGTTATATTTTATTTGCAGACGATACCAGTGTATTTTGTAAAGGTCGTGATCCTACAACTTTATATCATTTTGAAAATACTCAACTAATAAATTTAAGTATGTGGATGAAATCCAATGAGTTAATATTGAATACTAATAAAACTAATTATATTATGTTTGGAACTAGAACCAAAATTCCAATGGATTAAAATTTGTTCTATTCAAATAAAAAGATAACTCGGGTTTCAAGTACAACATTTTTAGGAGTAATTGTAGATGAAAAGCTATCTTGGAACCACCAGATAAATCATCTTTGTAACACTTTATCTAAAAATATTGGTGTTTTATTCAGATTTAATTTCTTACCTCAGACTGTTTTGAAAATGTTATATCATGCCTTCATTTCTTCCCACTTTAATAATTGTAATATTGTTTGGGGTTTCACTTCTAAAAGAAATATTGATCAAATTTATAAATTACAGAAACATGGGATTCGCCTTATTACACACTCTTTTTAAAAAATCTATCTCACACTCTATCATTATTTAAAAAAATGCAAATCCTACATATCCATGATTTATTAACCTTAAATACTACAATTTTCATGTTTCATCTGTCTAATAAACTTCTTCCAAGATTTATGATGATTTTGTTACTATGAATTGTTCCATTCATAATTACAATACTAGAAATGCTCAAAATATCCACCTCCCTTTAAACCGCATATCAACCTCCCAACTCATCTAAAATATAGTAAGACCGTAAAACAGTTCAAACAGTTAGTTAAACAACACCTACTGAACTCATAAATGATAATATTTTGTTAAAGTTTCCTATCTTTTGTTCCTTATCTCTTTTTAATTTAAAATTTTGATGTTTTTGTTAAGTTTTTTCTGCAATAATCTTTTGATATTTTTCTTAAAATGTATAATATGTTATGTATATTCTTGTTATTTGTCAAGGGGTCACTTTCAACAAGCCAATTCAGTGCTTTTTATGACCCTGCCACTATTATTTATATGTATACATTATTGATTTTTAAATGTGTTTTAAAGTGGAAATAAATTGAATTTGAACTTGAACTTGAATTTCCAGTTACAGTGGTACATATGTCTTTGGTAAATGGTGTTTCAATGGTATAGTGATGAAATTACTCTTATGTTATGTATACATGTATCAGTATTATTTTTTGCATTGTATGATTGTTCATATGTACTGTCATTATTGTGATGTGTTGTTGTTAATAAATTCAAAATAAAAAAAAATAAAATAAAATAAATGATAATTGGTACATGTACTTCGATGGCAGTGACTAAAGTTTAAATGTTATTTCAATGGTAATTACTTAATGGTAAATGGTAGTGACTGGTAAATGGTGTTTTAGTGTACAGTCTGTATGATGAATGGTGCTAGGTAATAATAATAATAAATACGGTCCTTATAAAGCGCTTACCACCGAAATCTTTACGAGCTAGACAAACAAAATACAATAATAAACAATTACATATCACACAAAACAAAACAAAATCAAATAAACTTACAAATTACAATACATATGAAATATACATCAATGTGAAAAGATTAAGTTAATCAAAAGATGTTTTACTGTGGAAATACCGACATCCATCTGGGCCCGTTTCATAAACCATTTGACTGACTGTAACCAATTCGATATTTATATCTATAACAAATCTAATTATGACTATGGCATCTGTTATAGAAGTGAAAATCTGTTTCATGAAACTAATAACAAAGTGCTATATATAGTTACATATATGTACCTACATGTATATATTATCAATAAATATAAGCTGTTCTTTAGTGTTTTAATATATTCATTCATCCTTGAAAGCAAACTTCTCCTTATGAATCAAATGGAAGTCACAGTGATTGTTATCTTACCCAATTTAAATTTTTCATCACACAATTAAATGATTATCCTTTCAATTAAATGTAATTCCTATTCACTGAAAGCTGTTAATGAAGCCATCATGACTAAGCCCTAGTCATCCTTACAACTTACACATGGTTTCCAGCTTAGTGTGTAACATCTGTTCTACTTCTTCCTTCAGAGGGTGATGTGACTCTGGAGGATACAACATGGCTCCATAATGATCTTTGTTTGTAATGTAGAAGGAAATACCTGAAAAGATACAATGGGAAACATGTCATGAAAGTCAGTATATGGGGCTTAAGATACTTTGGCAAGCAATATAATGATCTCTGTTCAAAACATAAAGGGAATACCTGAAAAGACAAGATAGAAACATGACATGAAAGGCAATGCATGGGGTAGACTGAAAGCTTCAATTTCTTATATCGACGGTTGTTACGCTGAGACTATGTCTGGCTCCAGTGACTGTTTCTACGGGGAAGGTTGACAAATGTAAGTTTTATTTAAAAATTACCCATACCATACAGTTATTTCTGTCTATGCATGGGGCTGAACAAGTTTAGCATGATCTTGTAAAGATCTCTGATTGGAATGAAGAATTTAATGACTGAAAATACACAATTGAAAAAGTTTAATGAATTTCAATACATCAGTCAAAAGAGATATCACATATCTCCTTGATCAGACTGTTTAGGGTAGTGAGTAATGTATAGTCATAAAATGACGGGAAACATAAAAATAACATCAGTTGAAACAGTTTACTTCAAATCATTGGGTCATCATGCCGGGTCGGGTAGCCGCATTACCCCACCTTTGTGAAAACATGCTTCTTTATTCACGATATGTCGGGGATAACGTTTGTGAAATAACCCCCTCTCACTTTGTGAAAACCCTACGGCAAATCTACAAAAGGTCGCGTCATCTTCCGCTTTCATTTCATGAAAGGTCGTGTAACGCAACCACCTGACCTGACGCGATGACCAGATGACTCGAAATATGCAATCAAAACATTCATGTCCTTGGGTGGTAATAATGACTTTAATTTAGAATGTTGATTTTTTTTCTTCCTGAAACGATATTACATGAACATATGAAGCATGATAAGCAATGGGAGTCCCACTGTGAGAAAAGTCAGGACAGAAAGTAAGGTCATGTCAGTGAGACTGAAAGCCAAGTTTACCAAACTGAACTAACACAGCTGGAGATGACTGAATCCAGAGATGAAGATCAGATGCTGGATTGGAAGTGATATTGTTCCCTTATGTCTCAGAGGAAAACAAGTCTGAATTCAATTCCATCTTCTTTCAATCAAAACACTCAGAGTGAGGAAACTTATGCTTGAAATTTGTTTATGATTTACCAGCCATCAGTAACTTAACTCATAACTAAGACAAAATTATACTTTCATATGATTCTTTAGCCATTTTCACTTTCATGTGAGTAAAGCATATCTTTGGTTTTAAAAAGTTAATTTGAAAATAGAGGATTTCTATATCTATATCAATGATAAAAAGATGGACAAAGTGTTATTTGTAAAGCTTGATAAGCTCCAAGTTTGAACTTCAAGTTTTGGATGCAATCTTCACAGCAAAAGACATGATGTAGCATTTTTGGTGATGTGGCAACAAAAAAAGGAAAACAGAGTACACAGGAACAGAGAGCCATTAATCTCTGGAAGGCTTAAAGGGAACTCTGTCAACAAAGACAATGAAATATGAAAATGGCTATGAGGAAATATAACTTTTCTGAAAATCTTTTATTCCAAGGCAAACAAGGAAAAAAAAGATAAATACATAAGTCCAAAAAAGTACCATTTTCATGTGTAAAGCAATGCCATAAAATGGTAGGATTTCAACTTAGACTTGAAACTCTCTAATAATGCTGTAGTTCTCAACTCCAATGGTAATTTGTTCCACAGAGAGGACGCTTCAGCCATGAAAGCTGTTTCACCACAGGCGACTCTTCTTCTTGGGATCGAAAGAAGAAGTTGATGTGATGATCTCAGGGTGCGTTTATCGTGTCTTGCCACTAGATATGTACATATCATACCCCACTATACGAACGTGATTTGCGGGATGTCGCGTTTATCGTCTCTTCACGATTCAAAATGAAGGCCTTGTCTCTGCGCAGCTGATTTGCGCCGTTTGACCCGGGAAGCAGACAGTTTCTCGGAGGTCAACTACGCACACATGCTTGTACAACACATGACGCGCGCTAGCCTCCGAACCGGAAATTAACCTGGGAAGGTCCGATTTGTATGTGGGGTTCAAAACAGCTTTGCGTTTATCATGTCTCAGAAACATGATTCTGGCTTTATGTCACATTCAAAACCCACTTTTTTTTGCGTTACAAAATATCTAAAGACGTTTGAAAAAGGCTTTGCGTTTATCACCTTAAAAATTTGCCTGAAAGACGTTTGAAAACGCTGATTCTAGGCAAAAAATTGGTCAATAAATGCACCCTCAGACTTTGAGAAAGTGCATATTAAAGGTATAATTAGATTTTGAAGGTAGTTTAGTGCGAATCCATTCACAACTTACATGTCAGGAGAAGAATCATAAGGTATTGTACCCAAGACTACGCACACATCTGAAACTACATGTAGCACTTGAACTTCTGACTTTGGATTTAGAACCATGATTGTATATACAGAAGGCCAGAAGTACTATAAATGTAACTCTCACATTTGTTCAGTGAGTCCCTATTACGCTAGAATAGGAGAAAGAGGAAATGAAGAAAAAACAGCCAAAGAGATAGGTAGAAAGAGAGAGAGAGAGACAGAGAATGTTTTCAAGCTTCATGTGTAACATCTGTTCTTCTTCTTCCTTGAGAGGACGTTTGGGGGGAGGGTGGGAGAGGGGAGGGAGGGGAGAGGGTGAGGGAGAGGAAGGGGGAGAGGGGAGAGGGAGGGGGAGAGGGAGGGGGAGAGGGAGGGGGAGGGAGGGGGAGAGGGAGGGGGAGAGGGAGGGGGAGAGGGAGGGGGAGAGGGAGGGGGAGAGGGAGGGGGAGAGGGAGGGGGAGAGGGAGGGGAGAGGGAGGGGGAGAGGGAGGGGGAGAGGGAGGGGAGAGGGAGGGGAGAGGGAGGGGGAGAGGGAGGGGGAGAGGGAGGGGGAGAGGGAGGGGGAGAGGGAGGGGGAGAGGGAGGGGGAGAGGGAGGGGGAGAGGGAGGGGGAGAGGGAGGGGGAGAGGGAGGGGAGAGGAGGGGAGAGGGAGGGGGAGAGGGAGGGGGAGAGGGAGGGGAGAGGGAGGGGGAGAGGGAGGGGGAGGGAGGGGGAGAGGGAGGGGGAGAGGGAGGGGAGAGGGAGGGGAGAGGGAGGGGGAGAGGGAGGGGAGGGGGAGAGGGAGGGGAGGGGAGGGGGAGGGGAGGGAGAGGGGGAGGGGAGGGGGAGGGAGGGGGAGGGGAGGGAAGGGGAGGGGGAGGGGAAGGGAAGGGGAGGGGGAGAGGGAGGGGGGCAGAGGGAAGGGGAGGGGGAGAGGAGGGGAGAGGGAAGGGGAGGGGGAGAGGAGGGGGAGAGGGAAGGGGAGGGGGAGAGGAGGGGGAGAGAGGGAAGGGGAGGGGGAGAGGAGGGGGAGAAGGATGGGAGGGAGAGGGAGGGGGGCGGGGGAGGAAAAGTCTGTACGAGGGATGGTTTTGAGGTAATTGTTAATTTCATTACCCTAATTTATTTAATCCTGATATATTTTCTCAACTATACTAGTACTTTACAATAACACTTTACACATGACAATTCACAATGATCCTGACAAGTTCGGAGAATACATGTAGTACGTATCACACATGATGCTAGATCGATGACTAAATTAAGTGTAAACACAACACAGGAAGGTCAGTAGTCCAGTCTATGTTATGTTTGTAAGGACAGGATGTGACATGGATGCAATTAGATCAATATGTCAAACCTTACTATCAGTTCACTGTGAAATATATTCTGTTGTAGCTCTGCATTGTGTGCTATGGGGTCCCACTTTAACAATCCTATTACTATAACTATCCCCCCCCCCCAAGCAAACAAAACAAAAAGAAGAAGAAAGAAAGAAAAAGACTGGGGGAGGGTTGAGGGGAGGGAGGATGAATATTCAAGATGATATGCCATCTCACACCCTTTCCCCAAATTCATGGTTCTAATTAATAAGCGGCCCCCTCAATAGCTGGAACCATACTATGCCACTGCCTGCCTGTGTTGAAGACCAAAATCTCATATTTGACATTGGCTGCAGACAATCTTTGCCACCAAAAGCAGGAGTACAATACAATTATTACATGTTCACAACTGGAACAACAGTAAGAGATCATACAACTTTACATGACACATAACAGAGGACACATGACATACATGTACAGGGCTTGCAACGAACACTCACGTATCACGTATCACGTGATCACGTGATCACGTATCACGTATTGCGCCCTTTCGTGAAACAGGTCACCCAAATCTACGAAGTGTTGGGTTACGTGACCCAACAAATAGTTATTTTGCTATATGCAATCTACGAAAGCTCACGTAATTGACGCTGGCGTTTAAAAAAATAATGCAAATTGTCATTGAGAAGAGACTAATAGCAAAAAAGCTGCTTCAGGTCAGAATATGTTGTGTAACTCTGGCGCGGATCAAGGCCCCCCCCCCCCGGAAAAAGAGGAAAAAGGAAAAAACAAAAAGAGAGAAGAGAGAGAGAGAGAGAGAGAGATTGAAAAGAAGGGAAAGAGGAGAGAAAGGGAAATGGAAGAAGAGAAAGAAACTGGGAAAAAAAAGGAGATCGGGGGGGGGGGGGGCGGGGAAGGGCCTTGCCTCCCAGTTGTTACCACACCCCCACCCCCGCCCCCCCCCCCCCACATAAAAAAATAACAGAGAAGGAAGGACAGTGAAAGAAAAAAGGAAAAAAGAGGAAGAAGAAAAAAATAAGGGGGATATCGGTTACAAGTTTCCCGCCAACAAGTTGTAGTTCGGTGGGGGGGGGGGGGGGGGGCTCTTGCCCCCCGCGGGAAGGAAAAGAAAAGGGTGAAAAGAGGGGGAGAACAGTTGCAATTAATCCCGCCAACAACCTGTGGATCGGGGGCCGAAAGGGCCTTGCATCCCCCTTGCAAACCTGAAACAGAGAGAAGGAAGGAAAGGAAAGGAAAAAAAGAGAGAAATGAAAGGAAAATGGGAGATAAAGGGAAGGAAAAAAAGAGGAAGAAGAGAACAAAATAAGGGGGATATCAGTAACAAGTTTCCCGCCAACAAGTTGTAGTTCGGTGGGGGTGGGGAGGCTCTTGACTTGGGGGGGGAGGATCCAGAGGCGGCCCCCCCCCCCTGGAAAAAAAGAAGAGAAAAAAAGAAGGAAAAAAAAGGAAGGAAAAAAAGAGAGAGAGAGAGAAGGAAAGGGAAAGAGGAGAGAAAGGAAAAGAAGGGGGAAGAAGGAGATCGGGGGGGGGGGGCGTCCTAGGCTTTTGCCTCCCCCCCCCAAATAAAAAAAATAAGAGAGAAGGAAGGAAATGGAAAGAAAAACGAAAAGAGGAGATAAAGGGAAGGAAATTGGAGAAGAGGAAAAGAAAAGAAGGGGGTAATAGTTGCAATTTCCCCGCCAACAAGTTGTGGATCGGGTGTGCATGGTGGGGCAAAATGACCTTGCCTCCTCCCCCTCCCCCCTCCCCACTAAACTTAAAAGAAAGAGAAGGAAAAAAAATAAGAGAGAAGGAAAGAAATGGAAAGAAAAAAGGAAAAGAGGAGATAAAGGAAGGAATTGGAGACGAATAAAAGAAAAGAAGGGGAAATAGATCATTTGCGGTTAATCCCTCCAACAATGTGTGTAAAAGGTTGGGGGCCGAAAGGACCTTGCCCCCCCCCCCTCCCCCCTCCCCAGCAAACTTAAAAGAAAAAAAGAGAAAGAAGAAAGGTAGGGGAGATCAGTTGCGATTTTTCCGCCAACAAGAGGGGGGGGGGGCTCGGGGGAAATAAAATTTATCGTGGTTTATTTCTAATTCCATAACGGTGGTTAACACATAATGCTGAAATGTCATAATTTTCCGAGATTTGTTCTCATTCTTAGTAAATTATACTTTTTATGCGTTTGTTGTAAAATGACAAATACAGCCAGGCAAGAAAATGCCTCTTGAGATGCCTACATGTCAGGGCCCGCGGAACGGCGGGGATCAGGAGCTTCCAGCTCCCTCCCCCACCCCCGAATTTTTTGAAAAAGCATATTAAAGAGAAATAGAAAGAAAGAGAGCAAGAAAGACAGAGTAGTTAAAGTAATTAAACGCCTAAAACGGGGGCTTTGCCCCCGGGACCCAACTAAGGGCCCTAAGGTGAGCCCCTTGATACTCATCCGACCGTAATTTAGTGCCTAAAACCCTTGAGCTTGTGGGGGCTCCGCCCGCTGGACCTCACGCAAATCAGTGTCTTGCCAGTGTCACAAATAAGGTATACAAATATGTTCATCTGACCGTAATCAAATGCCTAAAACCTCAGAGTTTCCGGGGTTTCCACACCCTCGACCCCACCAGGGGCCCTAAGGCGGGACCCTGAATGCTTATCTGACCGTAATTTATTGCCTTACAAGGTATCAAAAATATTATGTTCATCTGACAGCAGGCGCGTAGCTAGGGGGCGGTGGGGGCGCCACCCCCCCCCCAAAAAAAAGCCGGCCACAAAAAAAGAGAGGATAGTAAAGAAGAGGACGTAGGAAGAAAAAGGGAGCAGACAAAAAACACTTTTGAAATTCAGACAAAGATTAAGAGTCGAAAACGGTACAACGATTGTCTTCTTTCTCTAATAATTTAATGAAATATCAAAGCCTTCGCGCAGGAGGGGGACTGAACTGAGACAAGGATTACGAGACGAGAACGTTACAGCGAACCGTCCTCTTTCTTAAATGATTTTAATGAAACGTCAAAGCTTTTGCGCTTCGCGCGGGAGGGGGGGGGGGGACTGAATTGAGACAAGGGATAAGAGTCGAGAATGGTAATACGAATCGTCTTCTTTCTCTAATGATTTAATGAAACGTAATAGCTTCCGCGCTTCGCGCGGGAGGGGGGGGGGACTGAATTCAGACGAGGATTAGAGTCGAGAACGGTACAACGAATCGTTTTCTTTCTCTAATGATTTAATGGAACATAAAACGCGGGAGGGTAGGGGAAACTGAATTCAGACAAGGATTAGAGTCGAGAACGGTACAACGAATCGTCTTCTGAAACGTAAAAGCTTTGATCTTCGCGCAGGAGGAATATCAAGGGGGAGCTGAATTCAGACGAAGATTATTTTCGAGAACGGTACAACGATTCGTCTTCTTTCTCTAATAATTTAATGAAACGTCAAAGCTTTCGCGCTTTTGCGCAGAAGGGGGTGGGGGAACTAAATTTAGACAAGGATTAAGAGTCGAGAACGGTACAACAAATCGTCTTCTTTCTCTAATAATTTAATGCAACGTCATAAGCTTCGCGGAGGATGGAGGGGAAACTCGCCCCTCCCTGCACTACCCCCTATTACGTCACTGCTGGTCACCATTACGTATAATTTCAAATTAATACAGACCGATAGGAAAATTATGCCTTACATGAGTAGGTTCATATGCTATTTTTTTATCCCATAATGAGAGAGAGAGAGAGAGAGAAAGAGAGAGATGCAAGTGGAAAAGGCTGAAGAATTTATAGAAATAAATAAATTGCAAGAAAATTGAAATGAAAAGGAGCAAGATAATAGGCCTATTTCTCTCCTTTCTCTCTATTTTTTTTCTTAAAGTTTATCTTTGGTTCTTTTTCACATTTTTGTTTCCCTACTCATATGCCAGGCGCGGATCCAGGATTTTCCAATAGGGGGGGGGGGGGGGGGGGGGGGGGGGGGGGGCGGAATTTACAAAATGGCGCAGACCGTTTTTTCAAGGTCATATTAGAAGCACCATACCGGTACAATTTGGACATTTTCATCGGGGGGGGGGGGGACTATAGCCTCTTGCCCGAAAAAGTAATTTTCTGGTTTCACAATTCGGCTAGTGAGCGAGCAACAATTTGACCATAATATGTGAAAGTGTTATTTATCACCAAAATAAACGAGAAAAGATATAAAACAACTCATATTCGGCAGCTCGCTGCCACCCCCCTCCCAATTTCGCGCGAAGCGCGGAGCTTTGACTTTTTCTTCATTATTAGAGAAAGAAGACGATTTGTTTTACCGTTCTCGACTCCTATTCCTTGTCTGAATTCAGTTTTCCCCCTCCGCGCGAAGAAAGCTTTGACGTTTCACTAAATTATTAGAGAAAGAAGACTATTCGTTGTACCGTTCTAGACTCTTATCCTTGTCTGAATTTCAGTTTTCCCCCTCCCGCGCGAAGCCAGAAGCTTTGACGTTTCATTAATTATTAGAGAAAGAAGACGATTTGTTGTACCATTCTCGACTCGTATTCCTTGTCTGAATTCAGTTTTCCCCCTCCCGCGCAAAGCGCGGAAGCTTTGACTTTTTATAGTTTAAATTGAAATTATTAGAGAAAGATGATTCGTTGTACCATTCTCGACTCTTAATCCTTGTCTGAATTCAGGTTCCTCCCG